TAGAAACGGACAGTCTTGCTACCATTTGCTACGTGCTCAAACCTCTAAACCGGACTCCAGAAGCCAGAAACCCTAAAAACCCTTGAGTCCGGGACCAACCCTTGCGCCTGAATGCTCCATCTCACTTAGCTCTCTTCCTGAAGCCTAAACCCAAAAGCAGGCTTTAGCTCTTAATATAGAGGCCTTAATCATTAGAAAAGGGTCTTGGGGCCCATTAGAAAATAGTTACTTTAAATAAGGAGCCCCTAAAATACCCATATGATAGCCCGAGACACCAGACGCCGACATCCTGACTCTCTGCCCTACTTAGAGGATCATGGGCCTTAGTAAGTCAGGTTCTAAGTACGTTATAATTAGGATAACCCGACTTAGGGGACTTATAACCCCAATTATAACCTACTTACTAAGTCCCATGAGCCTCCGGCCCTCAGGCTTGTTTTTGGCGGCTTTGGAGGTGGCTTTTTACGTACCCCTGCAAGCAGTCTGCTGCCGATTCCGGGGCGAACAAACCCAGAGAGCCCAATACCCCTTAATTAAGGAATATGGCTTAAATTATATAGGGGCTCATATTATGATTTAAGTTATATTCCTTAATTAAGGGGATTAGGGGCTCTCTGGGAATCACCCTGAACCCGTGCATTCTGGAGATCGGACCCCCCCCCAAATAGGTGGTAGTCAAAATGGAAGTCCCTTTTTGGGTGCCCTAAATTTTAGTTGCCGTATTATAATAGGGACCCAAAAAGGTACCATAATTTTGATAACCACCCAAATCCTAGGCCACGATTTGGGAGCTTCCGAAGATAGGCGACCCTAATGTAGTACCCTATAGATAGTAGGATCCTTATTTTTTAGGACCCCAAAAAGAAGGTACCCCTCGTTTTCAAAAACTCTAAACCCTTATGGAGCCCTTTAAAGAAACCCTTATATTTTTGTACCCTTATAGTAACCCTTGAAAGGAGCCCAAAGTAAGGTACCCCTGATTTTCAAAAACTCCCACTTTTGCCCAACGGCCTGGTCGTTGATGTTGCATCCGAATAAGCAAGAGTCCTGGAGGAAGAACCTTCAGAGAGACATTGGGAGCGCAGACGGCTTAAGGTTTAGGGCTTAGGATTTAGGTTTTAGGGTTTAGGGTGCAGGGCTTGAGGTTTGGGGCTTAAGGTTTTGGGGCTTAGGGTTTAGGGCCGTTTAGAATATAGGGTTCAGGGCTCAGGGTTTGGGGCTTAGGGTGTTGAGCTTCGAGGTCAGGTTGTGCTTGGGTGGGGTCCAGAATTTCCTCAACCTCTGACTACTTAGAGGATCATGGGAATTAGTAAGTAGGTTATAATTGGGGTTATAAGTCCCCTAAGCGGGGTTATCCTAATTATAACTTACTTATAACCTGACTTACTAAGTCTCATGATCCTCTAAGTAGGGCTTGGGGTCAGGGTCACGGGTCCAACGCGCCCCAAACCCTGCCTGAACCGGCCCAAACTTGTTGGAGGGCTTGTTATACATGTAAACCATCATGGCAACGAACTCGAAAAATGTGCAGTGTTTGCCAGCAGCCTAGCCTGAATACCTTCGTGTTGCCGCACCAGGTCACCAGATCGAGCAGTGGAACCCCAATGTAGATCCCTGCTCGACAAACCTGGCTTGCACGGCCCTTCAAGACAAGGGGGTCATCAATCAGGGCGCAGCATTAACAGCAATGCCCCGAACACCAAGAACCCATTAGGCTTTTCAAGGCCAGGGAACAGGTACTGCCATAGCCTATCCTGCGCAACGTCGGTGGTGCCAAAGCGCGTCGAGCAACCGCCTGTCTCAGGATTTAGACTAGTTGCTGAGTTCATAAGCCCCAAAAAGTGTACACTTTCAGTTGTATAGTGGGTAATAGTATCCAAAAAGCGTGTAGCGTGTATCCACTCAGCTACGAAGTAGAGTTTTGGACTTCGGGGCTGCAGAAGCTCTTGCGACTAGAATGGGTCGCTGTTCAGACAGGGATCTTCTCATAAGGAAGTGGTTTCTCAAACGGCCCCTCCTTCAAAGGACATGTAGAGATGGTGAATTGCACCCTCCAGAGCGCATCAGAACCGAAGCTTTGTCGAAGGAGGGTGTTGCTGATACTTGCTGCAAAAACCAATTCTGCTATTTACCAGAAAAACTGCAAACAGGATAAGTGATATCAAAGAAGAACCAAAGGAACAGTACAACATGTGTTGTTGTTGCTGCTGCAGCGGACGGGGATTCTGTATCTTAGCAACTTGAAATCAGCAAGCTACACGTCCGGCAGGGGTTTGGGTACAGTATGGGACTCTCGTGTTTAACCCTAGACCTCAATAGAGACGTCTGGACACCCCAAATGGAAAGATCCCGACGACAGAAGCCCCTCTATCACGGGCCCCGAACATTCCGCAACTGCGCGGGCTCTCACACCCTCAACCTGAAAACCCCCCCAATAAAGCTCAGACCTAAATGGTCCAACCCTGAACCTTGAACACAACTTAAACCTAAACCCTGAACCCTTATTGAACCCCGAACTCGCAAATCCGAAGGCAACAGAAGCCCCTGCCTGTGAGGTCCGTCAGCACTTCCTGCGATCCACAAATGAAGCAGTTTAGGGCTTAGGATGGTTTGGGGTTGAGGGACGGGTTAGGATTCTTTTGCTTTACGATTTCGAACTTCGGATTAGGAGTTCTCTGGCCAAGTACGCCGGACCCACCGAAAACGACTCTAAACACTAATATAGAAGCCTTAATAATTAGAATAGTTGGGGCCCATTGTACTATATAGATATATTACACCCTACATGCACGCACCGTACCGGAAACCCAGGACATGAACTTAAGCCGAATTAGAAACACTGCACCCGAGACCCAACACAAACCTCCTTACACGCTGAGAAACCCTAAACCCTAGACTTTCGCCCTAAACCCTACAACCCTAAAACCCTGGAACCCCAAAGCCCTAAAACCCTAGAACCCTAAAACCCTAAAACCCCAGAACCCTAAAACCCTAGAACCCTAAAACCTTAGAACCCTAAAGCCTAAAACCCTAGAACCCTAAAACCCTAGAACCCTCAAACATTAGAAACCTAAACCCTAAAACCCTAGAACCCTAAAACCCTAAAGCCCTAGAACCCCTGGACATTTCCCCGGCCTCCACGTGGCCACCGCCTCCAAGGCCCTCCCAGCTGCCGTGCAGTTTGGCATACGCCTGGCCGGGAAGTCTTGTCTCGGTCCTGTACATGAACTAGACCCAAGAGGAACTTAGGAATAAAAAGGGTGTGCTTTTTGGTTTAAAAGGCGGTTATAAGGGAACCTAAACCCCGCAAAAGGGAATACGGGCCTACCCTGGGTCCGATTGAAAATCCAAAAAAACCTCCTACTTTAAGGGACAAGAAGGATGGTATTTCTGGGGTTCAGGACGCAGCTGATGTCATAATTGAAACAAGGTCTTAGGGGTATCGACTATACAATGCAAAAAAGACTGTCAGGGAGATACTTTCACTACGTCCCCTGACCTTTACACTAGGGTTTGGGCTGAGGGCACCGAAGTTGCTGGAGTGTAAGGCTTTGCAGTCGAGGGGCCGAGGTTGAAGAGTCCTTGATCTTCTGTCACCCATAGCTTCGGATATAAGGTTTAGGGGTTTAGGGTTTTAGGATTTAGGGGTTTAGGATTTAGGGATTTCTGGTTTAGGGGTTTAGGGGTTTAAGGCTTAGTGGTTCAGGGTCCATGGGGTTTAGGGCTTAGGGTGTAGGGTCTGGGGCGTGGACGGCTCCCGGGACCTTGTGACAAAAAACCCTAAACCCCAAAGCTTAAATCCTTCCTGCTCCAAAACCTAACATAAGGTTGCTGGTTGGATGAAGAAAGCTTCAGCTAGCCAAGAGATCGCAAGCTCTGCATCCCAAAGCACACGGTTCGGGGGTGTAGGGGAACACTAAACGTGTAACATAGGGTCCACGGTGATCAGACGACTTTCGTGGTTTGGGTGATATTGTGCGATAATTGTACAGTCCCTACAAGAGCATATGGGACTTTCCGAAAATAGGGGTCCGTAATATAGTACCCTGAATAGTAGGATCCTTTTTATAAGGACCCCAAAGTAAGGTACCCTCAGTTTTCGGAAGCTCCCATATAGCTCAAGCCTTTGTATAAAGTCTCTAAAGCCTGCAGCCGTGGGATGTTCTCTGAGCGACTCTGGGTCAGGAGCTCCGTGCTTATCTTGGGGCTAAACCCTAAACCCTAAACCCTAAACCAGTAATTAGGGTTTAGGCTCCAGGGCTTTGGGTTCTAGGGTTCGAGGGCTCCAGGGGTCTAGGGTTTTAGGGTTTAGGGCTTAGGGTTGTAGGGTCTAGGGTTTAGGGTTTAAGGTCTAGGGTGCAAACCATATCCACCATAACCAGAACCATACAACATACTGCGAACTTTTGTACAACCCTCGTTGCTCTACCTACATGTCCTGTTCTTAGCGAAACGCAAGTGCCAAGCAACGGCTCTAACAGCAAAACTCATCAACAACAGACTCAACAAAACAGCAGTAACAAAAAAGAGTTTCGGGGTACCTTCTCGATGATGGCAGGCCAGGAGAAGGAAGGCCAAAACTCGCTTCTGCTGCAGAGCGGGTTCCTTGGAGTAACGAAGGCCCTTTTAACAATTAGAGCGCGTTCCTTTAAGAGCTTTTGTGTAGAGTTCTATTGAGCCACTCACCAAAAGGGGGGTCTTCATCATTAGACGAGGGCTCTGGTGCTTTTCTTCTCGAAATAAAGGAGGACTGGAAGCTTTGCTAATTCGACTGGGGTTTGCGGAGGCTTGATACTACAACTACATTATGGAACCCGACAAAGTAGTATATAGCAGAAGGAATCCGGACCTGTCTATGAGGCTCAATGCTTCTCGGGGCTTAAGACCTCTCAGGGGCTCTGTCAAGGGTTCTATACATGTTCCATCGGGTTCCGGTGTTATGCAGGTTATTTGGGGCTGTGTTTAGGCTTAGGGCTATGGGGGTTCGCGGTTCCGTATGGCTTCGAAATGCAGCCGTGACAAGTGTTCACACAGGTTATTCAGTCGTCGTGGGGGTTCCATTTTGTTGCCTGGGGTGGTTTCGGATTTAACCCAAAATATGGATTTCGGATCGTCCGGATGCACTGTTCTTTCCATTGGCTACCCTATATTTCGAGCACCTCCACAGTGATTCTACGACAAGGAACCTACCACTTCGGATCTGTATTGCGTCCCCTTTTTTTCTGAACTCTGCCCGTCCCCACCAACTGAATGCCAAACTCTAGAAATCACAGCCTTACACCCAAAAATACGATGCTTCTTTCAAACCCGATTCCAAACACGTTAAGTTCCCCAAGCATTACCTGTGGTTCCAAAATGTTTAGGGTCATACCGTCATACCATATCATACGGTAGAACAACCCGGGGCTACAGGCACACCCTCAACCCGCGAAACCCTCAACACCCTTTACCCCTGGGCACTTTGACACCCCACCCCCCTAAACCCCGAACCCTCTACAGCCTCTCAACCCTCTAAAGCCCTAAACCCTCCAAACCCGTAAACCCCTAAACCCTCTAAACCCTAATAAACCAATGGTATGTTGACACCACACCCCCCACAATCCCAAAGCCAAGACTCATCGACCGATCAAAGGGCAGGGCATCGTCGACGACCACGTGGTGCCACTGCCCGTGCTTGTAAAACCGCAGTGTAAAAACTCCTGCGCTGCGCAGAGCGCGTGTGTATGGATAGTTCTCTAGATTAGGGTCCCTTTTCGGGTCCTGGTTATTGGGGTGCCGTACTATATTATCCTAAACCCTAAACCCTAAACCCTAAAGGGATCCAAGAAGGATCCTAACTTAGGAGCTACTCGTGTAGGGCTTTAGTGGAGCTTCCGCGAATACAGCTCCCAGTGTTTCTGAATCCTTCACGGATTGAAGCTTTCGGCTTGGGAAGGTCTGAGGAACTTCGAAATGTAGTAGAAGCCTGGACCATGGCTTTGGGAGGATTAGAGCTAGGATCCCTTATACTTTACCTTAAGGGCATGGGGAAAATTGCTTCTACTATACTGCTGCCGAGAACGGAGAAGTTACACAACACAGAGGTTTGGTGGCGGTGACAAGGCGAGTGGACATGAGAATGTCATCTGGCGTGGCCTTGACCAGCCGCATTTCAAGTTTCAGCTAGTAAGGATGGTGAGATGTCGGGACTTTTCAAACAAAGTTGCGAACAGACGCCTAAACCTGGCAAATCTGCGGGGCCTTCAAGCGAAGACAGGTATGGTAAAACCTTCAATCCCAACAGCCCCACGCAAACCTCTAAGTCTAAGCCGCTCTAGACCACAAGCAAGCCAATTACTTAAGCTCCTGGTACTGAACTTCAGCCGAACACTGACAGTGTCCTTGCCCTAAGCCACAGAAGACCGAGGCCTCAAACCCTCGGAAGACGATCCTAGAGAAGGATTCGAGAAGTGCATGTCTGCAAAGATCCTGGGCGTTGATTTTGGAATTCTCTGAGATCTTCAGAGTCTTTAAAGGTTACATAAGTGCATAATGACAATCTCCAGACTCTAGATATACTAGTCTGTTCTTGATAAGGGATCCGGAAAAAGGGTTTAGGGTTTAAGAGTTCAAGGCTTTAGGGCTGAGTTTCGGGCTATCGGACCGTTATCTAAGGGACATTCGAGCTTCTGGGTCTTGCGTGGGAGCGAGGGATTAGAACGTAACGGCTGAGCCCCAGAGATGTTGGCGTCTCCAGTTTCCAGGTGTTTGTCGCAGGACTGAAAGCATGCTTACTTGGAGGGTCGGGGGACTTAGTAAGTAGGTAGTAAGTAGGCTTATAAGTACCCGTACCCCAAAAGGGACCCTAATGGGGGTTGTGGTACTTATAAGTCCCTAAAACAACCAGTTACTAGTCCCCTGCCCCTCCAAGTAGGCTTCAGCTTGGTGCTGAGAGGCGCTAGGTGCGCAGGTTCAAGCTTACGGTTTCGGGGGTTGAGGGTCCCGGGTCTACGCCTCAGAGCTTTAGTCATTTATTATGATCTTAATATGGACAGGCCGACTGCCTGCGACCTAAATCCTAAACCCCAAGGCCTAAGCCGCTCTTCGGACTCCAAAACATCCCTGGTGCTGGTATAGTCGGGGCCTCAAAAACAGAAGTGTTGCTCATCTGTCAGGAACTAGCCTGTTTTCAGGCATGCAATGAAGGTACCTAAAGGAACCTTTCCCCTTGAACGCTATACACCACAAACCCCTGTCTGTAGCCACAAAGCTTCCTTCTGAAGGAACCCTGAAGGAACCCGGGTCAAACTAGAAATCACACATACCAAAAAAGCAAAACATAACCCCAAACAGGTTCTGTTTTTGTGCGATACATGTAGACCATGAACCCTGGTACGAAAAATACCTCCTTTGTCAAAATCACCGAAAACTTGAGGGTTTAGGATTTAAGGTTTAAGGTCTAGGATTTCGGATGTTGCATCTCGGGTTCTTACTGTTTAGAAGTAAGATTCTAAACCCTATACGCCTCGGTTCTAAATTAGAACCACTAGGTGGGGCTCTTAAAGCCTTTGAAAAATATTAGTAAATAAGATCCTCTTAAGCCCAATAAGGGAAAATATAAAATGTCCCAAAGCCCTACCTTGACCAAGGCTCTGCCCAATGAGCCACAGAAGTTAGATGCTATAAAAACCCTATAATATAAGCCTTGGTTCTAAATTGCCCCAAACCCTCAACCCTAAACCCTAAACCCCTAAACCCCCTAAACCCCCTAAACCCCCTAAACCCCCTAAACCCCCTAAACCCCCTAAACCCCTAAACCCGAAAACCGAGGCTCTGCCCAATGAGCCACGGCTTCATTGCCAAGGTCTGCAGACCGGCGGCCTCGGCTCGAGGGCATCTTTGGCCAAGAGGGCGCAAGTTTAGGGCTTCAGGTTTAGTTAGGGGTTTAGGGCTTGGGGTTTAGTTAGGGGTTTAGAGTTTAGGGTTTAGCTAGGGGTTTAGAGTTTAGGGTTTAGTTAGGGGTTTAGGGTTTAGGGTCTAGTTAGGGGTTTAGGGTTAGGTGCTACGGGCTTGGCGTGTGTAGGTTGGGGCTTAGGCTTTAGGAGGGCTGCTTAAAGTTTAAACTTGTTGTTTTGAGTTGGGTTGACTCATCCTTGCTAAGTCTCGGGCTGGTGGTTCGGCTTTTATGGCTTAGGGATTTGGGTTTACGGTTTTGGGTTGGGGAGTTGGGGGTTTAGGGTTCTTGTAGGGTTTAGGGTTTGGGCTAGGGGTTCTCTTCTTAAAGTCCGAAACTTTCCATGAAAAGTTCAATCGTAGTGCATAGGTTTTTCCAAAACCTGTACTTACCCTAAACTAACCCAGCCCCTTCGACCCGAAAGTTGAGCTGTAGTACCAAAATTACTAGACCCCCCAGCCCTGTGAAGTCCATTCTTGGGACAACAGGACTTGGGGCTTAGGTTGTAGAGTGTACCTTAAGAAGGACATATACAAAAGAAATCATATTAGGGAACCCTAAAAATATAGGTCATTTGGGGTCCAGGTAGGGGTTAGGACACAGACTGACTCCAAACCCCCCAAAAACCCCAAACCCTCAAAGAAACCCCGAACCGTAAACCTGTTTGCACCCTGAGCATGGATACACGCCTGTCTCCCTAAACCCTGCTATAGGGGCCTAAATAATTACGAATATATACTATTTTGGGGGGTTCCTGATTATAGTTAGAGTATAGTGGGCCCCAAAACTCGATTCTAATTATTACGGCCCCTATATTATAGCACCCCTACAGATCCCTTATAGTAACCCTTATATAGACCTCTTTAAAGGGGAACCCTATTAAGGCCCCTTTCTCTTAAACTCAGAAGCCCTGAACCTTCTCTCCTAAGACTTCTCAGCTCCACCTCCGGCCAAGCTGCAAGATAGAAATTCTCCAGGGCACCCTGGTAGACGCGGCCCGCACGCGGTCTTGGGCTGCTAGGGACTAGGGCTTGAAAGCTTTCAGGGTTTTGGGTTTAGGGAATTTAGGGTTTGGGGATGTAGAAGTTGGGGAGTTTTGGGGTTTAGGGGTTCGGGGAGTTTAGGGTTTTGCGCTTTTGGGTTTGGGGAGTTTAGGTTTTAGGGCTGTTTAGGGATTTTGAGGTTTTGAGGATTGGGGCTGAGGGAGTTTAGGGTTTGGGGTTTACGGTTTAGCGTGCTTGTCACAGTTCAGGGTTTCGGGTGCATGGGATTCTCAAGCCGGCTATACTTAGAGGATCATGGGACTCAGTAAGTAGGTTGTAACTGGAGTTATAAGTCCCCTAAGTGGGGTTATCCTAACTATAACTTACTTATAGCCTTATTTACTAAGTCGCATGAGCCTTCAAGTAAGGCTTAGGGTTGTTCCCGCAGCGGGAGAGACCTACCTACTCTTGTATGGTCTCTAAATGGGAGTTTCCGAAAACTGGGACCCAAATACAATACCCTAAGTAGTAGGCAGTAGGATCCTTATTAATTACAAGGACCCCCCCAAAAAGGTAACCTCTATTTGCGGAAACTCCCGTCTGAAGCACAGGTTGGGGTTTACAGCTTGCAGGGACTTGAGAAGGGGCCAGGTCAGGATTGCATGTTGCCCGCACCGCAGTTAGAGCCTAGGGCTTTTTAAATCGAAAGGGCCTACCTTTTTAGGGTTCCTTATTATTATTATTGTTTCTATATATAGTTCCTTAAAAAAGGCAGGCCTTTTCGGCTACAGGTACGGCTCTGGGGTGTTAGGGTTTCATGTAGGGCTCAAGAATCCAAGCCCGACGGGATCTCAGTTTTTAGGGCTGACTTTAGGGTTTAGGGGTCAGGGCTCATGGAGGAAGCCGATTACGAAATTCCTCGTCCGAAATCCGCGACAGTATGGGCCCTGTATCTCTAGATTAGGTTTGCGCTGTATAGCTATCAGAGTGACGACTCTTTGGGCGGGGGCGGTACAGGAAGGACCCTGAGCCAGAGAACGACATGTGTGCAAAGGCCCACATTGGTAAAACGGAGCCCTGAGAATAAACCGATTCTCTGCATGATCTTTGGAGCCGCCGCTACATGGAAGTTGGCCCGAATGCATGGTAAAGACATCGGCAACAACTCAACTACTGCTTCCGATATGCCGGGTGGTTTCTGAAAAAACCCGAATGTTCATTGTAATGACGAGCCTTCTCTTTAGGATTTGTTGGGAAGATCCGGCACTTTAACAAACTGCTCTACTTATGATGAAGATGGTGATGATGATGATGATGATGGTAGCCTGCTGATGATGACAAAGATGGTGGTGATGACGATGATGATGATGGTGATGACGATGATGATGGTGATGATGATGGTGATGTGCATAGTTGCTGATACTGTTGCGGTGGCCCTTAAGCCACGGAGCATCGCTCCGGCGTGCATTGTCGGGTACGGAGCATCCATCACGAACTCCTGCACCCACACGGTCACTGATTTAGAAAGTTTTAGGGCCAGGGCGTACAGGGCTTCGGTAGCGTTAGGATTCTTGGGGTCCAGCATGAATGTTTAGCGCCTCCGATTTTCGACTGCAGCTTCCGACACAATCACAATCCATACTACAGCACATAGAAGTTCAAGGATGCATTTATCATGTTCATAAAAGCCCTAAGCCCGAAAACCTGAACCCGAAATCGAAATGAGCCGTGGGCAGAAGCACTGTAAACCCCTGTCAGAAGAACAAAAGATCTGCCTAGAATTCTTGTTACAGAAGGAATAAGGGTCCTGCCAACAATACGAGCCGTAACAAGGACTACGGCTGTTATAAGTACGTAGCCCTTTTGCTGATCTATTGCTTCGTGTGTTTGTGCTATGCAGATTATTGTTTTGAGGGCGACATGATTACTGCAACTACTGCACCAAAAACCACACTCAAAGGATCAAAGGGCTTAGTAAGTAGGGTTATAATTAGAAACCACTACAGCAATGTCTTCTGAATCATCACTCCCCTAAACCCCAAAACATGAAAACCTAACACCCTAGACCCCAAAATCTTCAAAACCCGAAACCCTATCTACGAATACACCTAGTCAAGGTGCTTGAACTCTACGTACTTTAGTCCCCTGAACCTTTACGACTCTACGCGCCCTGACACCTCAAAGCCCTCATTGACTCATTAAACCCTTCCAACACCCCACAAACCCTGCAGGACCGTGGCAAAACCATTGTACACCCATGAAAGCACCCTGAAACCTTAAACCCCTAAACCCTAAGCCCCAAAACCCTAAACCCCAAACCGATTTGAAACCCTAAACCCTAAAACCATAAAACCGAAACCGCCTTGAAAACCCGAATCCCTAAACCCCAAACCGCTTTGAAACCCAAACCCTAAACCCCTAAACCCTAGTCCGCTTTGAAACGCTAAACCCTAAACCCCCAAACCCTAAACCCCAAGCCGCTTTGAAATCCTGAACCCCAAACCCTAAACTCCTAAGCCCTAAACTCTAAACCCTAAACCCCAAACCGCCTTGAAACCCTAAACCCTAAACTCCTAAACTCCTAAACCCCTAAACCCTAAACCGTAAGCCCTAAACCCTATACCCTAAACTCCTAAACCCCTAGACCCTAAACCGTAAGCCCTAAACCCTAAACCCTAAGAGCCCCTTAATAGAACTAGTCCTGGAGTCGCTGCCATGCGGCAGGTCGTTCGAGCACGGCCAAGTCCGGCACGTCCCCTGCAAGGGTGGATGATATAAATCCTAGGGTTCCTTTTAAGGGACCTATTAGGGTACCTTTAAGGGGTTCCTTTAAGGCATCTATAGGGTTTTAGGGTTTAGGGTGATGATATAAATCCTAGGGTTCCTTTTAAAAGGGAGTTACAAGGGTACCTTTAAGGGGCTCCTTTAAGGGATCTATTAATGTCCGTGAACTTGGCAGAGCGGATCGGAGACAAAAATCGCCCTAACCAGGCTCTACTTGGCGGATCATGGGACTTAGTAAGTCAGGTTATAAGTACCCTAATTGGGGTTATAAGAATAGTTACCCTAATTATAACCCTAGTTACTAAGTCCCATGATCCTTTAAGTGGGAGCCCTATACCCATATACTACAGTTTAGGGGTTTAGGGGTTGGGCTTATTTATAGGCTCTTGCAGCAGGGCTTCGACAATCGATAGGGCGTTCGAACCGATGTCCCTACGGATTCCATTAAGAATTCCTTTGAGCACTTTGTGAAGGGTTTAGGGTGTGTGAAGAGCTCAATGGAGTGTCGTACGGCTTTTGGGATTTCAGTAGCGATTTGCGAAGACGGATTTGTGTAAGTTGCGAGAAAGGAAAGCTGGGGGGGTCCGTAAGTAGCCTCAAGCCGTAGGCCGTTTCGACGCCTTATGCTGAGTCTACTTCAGCATCCTTCGAACAGTACCATCCACCATCCAAACACAAAGCGCTGCCTTTACAAGGGCCTCGGGCATCCGCCCGGAAAAAACTCCCTCCACGACCTACGAGGAAGCTTTACTAGGATGCCCAGTAACCTAGGAATAAAAAGGGCTCCCGTTTTGGTATTGGGTAACTCAATAAGGACCTCGGACTACAAAAGGGAATAAGGGTACTACTGTGCATCTTAGCTTATCTCACGCACACAAACCCTCTGGGGCATGTGGAACAGGGTATCGGGCCGTACCACAGGCACTCTGATCCAAAGACCCAGTCTAGCCATAGCCAAAATCCGAAAGCCTGTCGTCAAAGCCGAGGCGCCAGGTTGGTGTCGGATGAACGAAGGTAAGGAAGTACCCTAAACCCTAAACCCTAAACCCCTAAACCCTAAACCCTAAACCCTAAAGCCCTAAGTCATCAAGAATCTCTATAGAAGGGTGCATCGGGGCGCAGGGTGCCTTAATCCAACTTTCGGAGGAACTTTAGGCTAAAATAGGGGCCTGAATAATTACCTATGCCATTTTGGTGGCTCCTCAAACTTTTCGTACAGTGGGCCCCAAAAACCCTATTCTATTTTCATTCAAGCCATTTTCATTCTATCAAACTTTACTATATTGGTGGTTCCCTGGGCCCCAAAACCCTATTCTAATTTCATTCAGGCCATTTTCATGCTATCCAACTCCGCTGCCCTCTAAACCCTAAACCCCTAAACCCTACACCCCTAAACCCTAAACGCCTAAACCCTAAACCCCTAAACCTCCAACTCCACGGGCCTCTGAACCATGCCTTGCTGCTTGGCGGGAACTGCTGATCTTGGAAGATATCTTTCACCTCCGGAGGTTTAGGGTTTAGGGCTTAGGGAAGATATCTTTCACCTCGGAACCAGAAGATGGACGGCCAGAGAACGCCCACCACACACGCCAGCTTTAGCCGTCGCATCCCAACCAACCCCAAATGGCACTCACAAATTGCTGAAGCTAAAGAAACGGGGCCTTCACGATAAGAATAGGGTTTTCTGGAGGCATCGGGAAATTCTGCCATGAGTTATTCAGCGCCCGCTGGTCTGAACATCAAGACCTACTGTGGATGATATAAATCCTGCATTACCTTGAGGACCGTAAACTATGGGAATTGTGGTATATTCCTTATTATGGATAATGCAGGATTTATATCATCAACCGTACCAACAATAGACCCACATCTAAACCCTACCTATAGTGTCCGTTGCAGTCCCTCGCTTGGGGTTTACATCATGTTATATGGAGAATCCAAGAAGAAAACACCGAAAGTAAGGGGAACTACGCTGGAGACTATAGCTAAACCGTCAGCCCCAAACCCAATGCCTGGCGCCCTAAACCCCTCAAATCCCCAAAACTGAGTTCCAAATCCTAGCATAGTCGGCCCCTGGGGTGGGAGTGGATCTGGGTTATATACTCTCTTCTCCAATAACCAGGCCCCAAAAAAGTTCAGACTTTGTAAGATAGACCAACTACATAAAGCCAAAAAGTTTAAAGTTCTCCAATTGGCTAAGTAAGTATAGAAGCCTTACAAATTAGAACAGGGTTTTGGGCCCCTTTATTGTCTAAGTATACTAAGGAACCCTAAAGCGCAATGTTGGTAACTATTTGGTCCCCTATATTACAGAAACAGCGCGGAACAAAAGTCCGAAATGTCAATTAACCCACCTCAACTTTTAACCCTAAACCCTTAGAGTTTATAGGGGCTTAGGGTTTAGGGGTGAGGGTTCAGGGACCCGAATCTGTCAAAACTTGAACCCTTGAACCCCAAACCCGTAACCCGAATCCTTCCTTAACTTAACCCGTAAGCACCACACCCTGCACAGAACATCATATTTCCAAGCCCTACAACCCTAAGCCCGCAGTCGGCCATCTTAAACCCTTAGAACTTGAACACTACACCCTAATGCCTGAACCTTGTACAAGTAGGTATAACCGCCTTAAAAGACTGGACCCCAAATTCTCGATCTTCCACTTAACCGGTTTTGGGTTCTACTGCGCGCTGAAACCTTTCTGAAGAAACCCCAATTCTGAACCGGAAACTCCCCAGCATCACATAGGCCACACATGAAAGCCAAACTGCAAACATGATTGCAGAAACCTCATACAATACCCTGTCCCTGCCAAACCCACCTAAAACCCTCTTATAGAAAGCTTCTACTTCTATATGTCTTCGAAATCCTATACAAACCCGTACAAGCCCTGTACAGTCCTTACAGGGAACCTCCCCTGCAAACTTCGTTACATCCGCAACGCCTTGCTCCATTGAGCCCAAGCCGTTGAAAATATCTACATATACACATTTCTTTATATGTTTATATTCATCTGTTACGGACAGCAACACATGACGCTCCAAAACCTCTAGAACCATAAACCGGAATGCCCAATCTTAAAGCCCCCAGGCCCCAGATGTGAGGCAGAGCCGCATGGGCCGTTCGCGTGTGTGGGCTGTAGTCCTTTCCCATCCTCCCGCCGGTCCTTCGTTGGGTTGCGCGAAACCCTGAACTGGGTTGGCCTTTAAACACCCTGAAAAATATCTATATATAGGGTCCCTTATAAACCCAGATAAGGAAAATAAAAAATGTCCCAAAATCCAACCTAGTGAACCCTGTGGGGTTTGGGGTGGGTCTGAGGATGTTCAACATGACCATCGGCTCGGCTGGGTGTAGGTCTGGGGCTACAGATGTGATATTCGGAGTGTTTCTAGGTTTTGGTCCTTCGGTTGAGTTGTCGGCTGTGTTATTTGGACACAACCTTATATCCTACTGGTGGATAAAGGCTTGCCATTCGCTTCAGTACTTAGTACCCGAAGCTATGGGAATGGCGCTATGGGAATGGCGGGACATTCCTGAGTGAAGACTGTGCAGACTTTCGTCCCTCGTGCCGGGTTTCCTGGCGTCGCATCTTGCTGCTACACAGTGATCTTTAGAACCTACTATGCTACTAAGACGGTATACCTCGGACCTTACCTACACTCTCACGTGTGGCCAGTTTGAGCGCATCGCCTTCATGGCTAGAATCCTACTTGCAAACAAGAGCTAGCAACAGGGACTCGCATCGGCGAGTGCAGATATGTTTCTCAGCACAAAATGCTGAACTCCGCTGCCAAAAGCAAGCAAGTTTGGCGCCTCGAAGACTCCCCCAAGGGTCCATGTACCCAAATACGGTTGATGATATAAATCCTGCATTACCCATAATAAGGAATATATGGGAACTATGGTATATTCCTTATTATGGGTCATGCAGGATTTGTATCATCAACAGTAGTATATACATTGGCCTTATCATGTAGTCCCTATATAGGTACATTGGGCCCAAAGTATATACTGTTTGGGTACATGGACCCTTAGGGCTTCCACTTTGAAAGGACTACCGCCCACGCAGAACAAAAAGCATCCCAGCACTGGACAGAAATCCTGACGAAACCCTAAACCCCCAACCCTAACCCCAAACCCGAAAACCTGAAGCCACAACTCTTGACCCTGTGCCCCAAACCCAGATCGCAAGGATCGGGTTTTCTAGAGCTCTAGAGATGGTCTCTGTTGTAGCTCCTTTTTGGCTTAACTGGTTTTATACTTCGGATCCTAAAAGGTAGCCCCCAAAAAAAGGAACTGAAAAGGGAGACTTAGATACAAGAACGGTTAGGGCGGCTAGGGTTGAGGCATTGAGACTTTGAGCTGGTGGTTTAGGGTATACTCTGAACTCTGTTTCAGTCGGGTCTAAGGGTTTAGGGTTTAGGGGTTCGAGGGTGTAGTACTTTGGGGCTCAACGTTTACAGTTAGGGCTATAGGCTATAGTAGTAGCCAGAAAGTTGGAACATCATTATCCTCATGCCCTTAAGATAAAGTATAGGGGATCCTAGCACTAATCCTCCTAAAGCCATGCTCCAACTTTCTCTAGGATACCCAGTAACCTATGAATAAAAAGGCCTCTCTTTTTGGTATTGGGTAACTTTATAAGGAACCTAGGACTACAAAAAGGGAATAAGGGTACTACTGGGCATCCTAGTTCTGGCTTCTACTGTCGAACTCAGGGCTTCGATCTCGGTTTTTGGAGAACACCGAAATTCAGCCCCTTTCCCCAAAACCCTGGTTTAGGCTTTAGGGTTTAGGGTTTAGGGTTTAGCCTGAGGCTCCCCCTTATCACCTTACGAAATGGCGAGGTTTCTCAGTAATGCGGGGACCTGATTAAGAAACATTGGGCCTTTATGAGGGCTCCCTATATGAATCCTACTGTTTTGGGGTTGTAGGCCCCTGGTCTCTTAACCAGGCTCCTACATTAGCCATTAGTCTCTGGGACCCGAGGCCCTAAGACCTTGAAGCCTAAAGCCCCTGCCCAGAGAGCCCAATACCCCTTAGTTAAGGAATATAGCTTAAATCATAATAGGAACCCCTATATAATTTAAGCCATATTCCTTAATTAAGGGGTATTGGGCTCCCTGGGTGTACTTCCCACACCCTGCGGCTTGGGAACGCATCGTGGATTCGGTCTTGCATTTGTTCCATGCGGGTCTCCTTGTGCAGCTGCCTACTTGGAGGATCCGGGCTGGTACCCACAGCCTACACTCTCGATGAGTTTTACGTTGAAGGGTGGAGGGTCGAGGGCTACCCAGAGAGCCCAATACCCCTTAATTAAGGAGTATGGCTTAAATTATATAGGGGTTCATATTATGATTTAAGCTACATTCCTTAATTAAGGGGTATTGGGCTCTCTGGGTATTCGAGGCCTAGAGGAGTCTCTCCGTGGTCTCGGGTCTAGGCCAATATCCGGAGGGTTAGATTCGGGGGGCTTGGGGGCTGAAAGTCTGGTCTCTACGGTCTCGCGATCTGGGCCTACTTGGGGGCCTTGCAGTTTACTACTATTACTACTACTACTAGCACTACTACTACTACTACTACTGCTACTAGACTTCATGGTCGAGACGTCTGAGCCTACTTGGAGGAATTGAGTTCATGGCTTACAGTTGCAGTTGCGTCAGCACAGTCTTTAAGGCATATGCCTAGTTGGGAGCTAGTAAGGGCTAGCAGGCCCAACGCGCTGAACCCTACACCAAACCCTAAACCCTAAACCCTAAACCCTAAACCCTAAGCCCTAAACCCTGAACCCCAAACCCGAAGCCCTTAAACCTCTAATAGCGCTTGGGTTTAGGCTTTAGGGTTAAGGGTATAAGCCGGTCGCACCCTTACAAAAGTCCTACAAAAGCGTGTAGCTCCCGTATGAAGCAGCTTGAAACCTTGACAAAGCCCCGAATCACAATCCTTACAGCTATAAATGCCCAAGATAGATAGATAGGCGGATAGATGGATGGATAGATAGATGGATAAATCGATGGATAGATGGATGGATGAATATACATATATATATATATATATATAGAGAGAGAGAAGAAGAACAAGAAGAGCGAGCGAGAGAGACAGAGAGAGAGAGAGAGAGAGACAGAGAGACAGAGAGAGAGGGGGAGAAAGAGCGAGATACGTATACATGTATATGTATATATTTCTATAGGTATACATATGTGTACATGCATAGATACCTAACATAATGCATATATATATATATACATATACGCCCTAAACTCTCAGACTCAGCCCAATAAATCCCTACTGTAAGTATTATGAGGCCCGTTCTCCTGCACGAGACGTTGTTCGTCGCTCCAGGCGCCCGAGAACTCTGCCTTTGATTTTGTTATTCAGGGTTCATGGTTGTAGGGTTTAGGGTTTAGGGCTTATAGGACTTTAGAGTTTTAGGGGTTAGGGCTTAGGTTTTAGGGGTTAGGGCTCAGGGAGTTTATGGTTTACAGGGGTTTCGGTTTAGCGCAGTTTGGGTTCGGGATTGAACCAGCGACCTCCAGAGCCTTCGGGTCGAAGTGGTGTGGAGTTTCGCAACATTTCAAGTCGTGTGAAACCTGAGGAAGGTCTCCAAGCCCTATAGCAGTTCCTTTCTGGGGTTCATATTTAGAGTCCTATAAGGTAATCCCAAAAAGGAACTACTATGGGGCGTATGGGTAACGCAAAAGCAATGCTGAGATAGTTTTTGGGGAAGGGCGATCATTGCCTGCTTGGACTGCTCACAAGGCCAAGAGACCAAATCCAAAAGATGTAACGGCCGGATGGCATGACCTAAACCTTAACCGGCATCCCAATCCATCAAATCTGAAAAATTACATGGGATCATATACCGGAAACCCTAAACCCTGAACCCTGAAAGCGCGAGTTGAGCCCGAAACCCCAAACCCGGCACGCTGATTCCTAAACCCAAACCCTAAACTCTACACCCCTAAACTTAAACCCTAAGCCCTAAAACCCTAAACTCTCAACCCCAGGCCCTGAACCTAAACCGAAAACCTTGGCGTTTGCTGCTGGCCTGAATCCGTCTGTAGCTTTCCGCCATCTGCTGCAGGCAAGCTTGCCTGGGTTTGACACGTTCGAGGCGGGCCTTTAAGGGTTTTACAAGGTGCAACAACGGTTCTAAAGAGCCGCAATACGGGTCTAGAGCATAATTCTGCAAGGCGCAAAATGGGTTCCATAGAGTCATAGAGCTTTAAGGAAGGTTTCGAGCTTGCAGGAGCTTGAATTTCTGCTTTATATGGGGAGCATGGTGCTATGGATATTGTAGAGTTGTTGCTGTCGTATCTATTGGCCTAGGCTTCGTATCTATTAGGCTCGATTTTGCATGTTTCAAGTATAGTAAATATTAACCCTGAGGCTCTAAGGACTCATATTTTAAGGCTTTTGTTTTGGGCCTAAAGACCATATTATATAAGGCTTTTGGGCTATTTTGAGCCTTAGGGTAACTGCTGCTTCACACACGGCCTGCCCAGCGCAGGTACGGCAGATGAGCCGCGAGCCAACGATGCTGCCGGTGGGCCACTGCCCTAGCCCACAACTTTATCCAAGACGCGGCCCCGAAGAATTTGGGAGTTTCCGACTATTAGGGATACCTTTTTTGGGGGTCCTCGCAATAAGGATCCTGCTATTTAGGGCTATATGAGGGTCCCCTATTTTCGGAAACTCCCATATGTCACGCCCGCCAGTCCCGAAGATTATCAGCTTCTACCCAGACCCCCGGAAGGATCCAAAAAGTAGATCTGTTAATGGGGGCTCCTATAAAGTACCCTTAGTAGAGAGCCCCAAGTTAGGGGATCTACTTTCTAGATGCTCCCGGGGGTCTGGGTAAGCCGACAGTAAACTCTCGTCCAGTTCTACTCTCGTCCCTACAGAGTCTCGAACTTCAAAAGGAAGATCTCAGAGAACGAGATCGCCACACTTCGCAAAAAAAACCCAAGAAAGCTAAACCAGTCAGAAGAAGCCGCTAGCTCTGGAATGAGTTGAATCAAACCCCGTCGGAAACCTCATAAAATCGCAGCGGCAACCCTTGCTCAACCCCAACACCCTTTATAGAGCCTCCTAGGAGGTACATGGATGTTGTGTGCTTACAGGTCTTTTGGAATTTACGATCTAGGGTTTCGGGATCGAAAGCAAGAACAGACGAACGAAGAGAGAGAGAGAGAGAGAGGGAGAGTAAGGTTGCACTAGCTGATTGCGATAAACTGCGCAGTTTGCGCAGAGGGACAAGGTTCAGAAACACTCTAAGCATGATAGAGGCCTGCACAAACCCTCGAAGCAAACTCCGGCATACTAAAAGTCTATAGAACCCGCATAAAGATCCAGCGTCTTTGTCAGCCCTTGTCAATGTTCGTGCCACAATACCCATAGACATGCCGTGACATATTGACATGCCAACGTGAAGCCTTGACACAAACCCTGTTGGTCCCTGTAGGAGACTCTGGAGCCTGAACCCTGGTAAACCAGGATGACCCCTATAAACTTGTGTAGATGCCCATTGAAAGCCATTTTAAATCCCTAAACCAAAGACATCTCCCACCCTTAAACCCTAAACCCGAAACCCTAAACCTTGAACCTAAGCCAAAGATGTCTCCAAAGGACCAGTTGTTCTCCCCGACATACCAGTACGAGATAATGGGAGCCTGGGAAAGCGGGCGGGAATGCAAGGGCCTTATGAAACAAGAGTTTGAGTGGGGTTTAGGGTTTATTAGGGGTGCATGATGCTATAAGAAGGCGTTAATTCTCCATGAACCATGATAGGACCTTGAACTATGTATTAAAATTTGACTTAAGAGTGCATTCTGCTACACATTGTTAACCCTGCAGGCCAGTATCGGTAGCTTCCTCTGGGTTCAGAAGCGTCTTAATGCAGACCAACATGCAAAAGTTGTAAGGGCCCGTGCAGAGGAGAGAACGGGATCAAAAGCTAGTTTCTGGCGTTTGAAATCCGGGGTTGTGCATTTTTGCGTGGTTCCGATCGTTTCAGTATGTAAGGCTGATGGCTCGATGGCTCCAGGAGCTGAAGGTTGCAGTGTAGATGTAAGGTTCTACTAAACTGGTCTCCTTCGTCAAGTCATAAAATGCGTATGTATATATATATATATATATATATATAGATCATGCAAAGCGATTTAGTGCAGTACACTCACTGCAATATACTCTCAGAAAAAAGGGCTTCTAAAAGGGTCTTGGGGGGTGTCTTACAAGGAATTATGCAAGCGTTGTAAGCTCCAACTGGCCCCATCCCATATGTAAACGAAAGTTTTCACAAAACCCTTAACCCTAAACCCCTAAGCCTGTGTTCCTTGCTCGCTGCCTAGGCCGCGGGAGGGATGTCAGCTTCTTGTCTGATGTGTCCGCGATAAACCCCTAAACCTCCAAACTCTAAAGGGAACTCCAGAAAATTGGAATATGATTATCCTAAACCCTTTATGGTAAATTACAAGGTATCCTACCCTGAAACCATATTCCAACTTTCTGGAGTTCCCTTTAAAAACCCAAAATTTGGGTTGGGACTCGATGCGCAGCCCTGTAAGCTTCTCAAGCTGATAGGGAGTTCTGGCGGGTTGGCGACGTACTTCCAGGAACGGACTTCCGTGTGATCTATGTCCGGCCTTGAAATTCCCACTCAAGCCTCAACCGTAAACCCTAAGCGCGCCCTGGCCGTAGACGAAACAGAGTCCGTCTCTGCTGCGTCAGTGAGGTCCTCCACCGACGCCGGGACCTCTGCAGCTGCCTGCGACCCCGCTGCCGGAGGCTGCTCCTCCTGGCCGGCTGCAGGGGCTGCCACCTCCATCTCGACCGGGCCCGGCCCTGAGGCTGCCTCCGGGTTCTCCGGAACAGCGTTGCCAGATCCAGCCACACAGGCCGCCAAACAGAGCTCCACCAAGCACTGGAGCATGCGCACCATCCCGACGAGTCTAAAGCCGGAGTCCACAGCGTCCATACAAAAGTGCTCTGTGACTGTGTGAGTGCTGTCTGTTGCTGTGTGCTGTGTGCTGCTGTGTTGTTGTATGCTGCTGTGTTGCTACCCTCAGTGCCCTCATGAGCTGCCTCTGCCGTGCCCTAGCTGAGCTCATGATGTGGCTGTAAGCTGTGCCCCTCGTGAGCTAAATGCTTTGGCAAAAATGCCCGACTTGAGTCTGCAAACCCTAAGCCCTGAACTTAAACAGGAAGAACAGCCAAGGATGCAAGGGGAAAGAGACTCCGATCTCCCCCAACTCCCCAAGTGTGAGTTTCAGGATTTAGGGTTTAGGAGTTTAAGAGTTTAGAGTTCAGGGTTTAGGGGTTTAGGGTTCAGGGTTTAGGGCCTTCGCTACAAACTCTACTACGGGATTCTGAAAGTTCGGCGTTTCGGGTTTAGGGCTGGCGGATTAAGCCCTGATCATTCATCATCTGGGGCTTCAATCAAGCTTTAGGGATTTCAGCCCTGGTCATTCATCGTTTGGGGTCTAGGATTTAGGCCCTGACGCTTTGGGCTTTACGGCTTAGGCCCTGATCGTGAGTTGAGGGCCTAGGGCCTGATCTTTCGGGGTTTAGGATTCAGGGCCCGATGGTTTAGGGCTTCGAGCCCTGACAATGGGGTGTAAAGCTTAGGGCCTTGCCCTCCCCCTCCCATTAGATGCAGTCTCAAACGCCGGCGGCGGTCGGCCATCGTTGCCTGTGAAGAGCGGATACGCAAGGGTCGCCCATGTGTTGCGATGTCCGCTGTCGTCGTCGTTATCATCATCGTCGCCATCACCACGGACACAGGGACTGGCACAAGGAAGATGATGAGGCAGCTGGCAAGACAAGCACTACCAACGAAAACCGCGAGCACAGGAGTCTCAGGTGTACCGAGATCACAGCAGGAACGAACACAAAGCTGCCAAGCACAAGCAGTGACCAAGGGGACCCTATATCTTCAACACTACCTAGGGTTGAGGCAACCTTAGTACATCCTGAACACGAAGACCAAGCACAGCAACGCCAGACACAACAGCCCTCGTCATCACAGGGAAAAAAATCAAAATTGCAGAGATGCTGCAACCAGTTCTGCAGCTTCCGACATACATATTGACCTCTCCAGTACTGACTGTAAATAATTGCCAATACTATTTTGGGGGGCTCCTGATTATAATTATGGTATACTGGGCCCCAATACCCTATTCTAATTATTAAGGCCCCTTGAATTCAACCCAAGAGCCCCAAGAGCCCCCAATGCTCGAAGTGACCGGCTTCACCGGAGTCTATTGCAAACTCCCAGGCTGTGTTTGTCTGGAGATGAGCATCTACCAGTCTTGAAGGTTCAGTTTGACATAGAACTTATACTGCAATACCCTTTTTCCGGCTATGCTCTTCGTTCATTGCGGGATCCTATCCGTAAAATAGGCTGCCCTCGCCACCAAAACATGTACTACACTTCAGGGTCAGGTAGTCCTTCAATCGGGGATTTAGTCGTCGTTGGCTTGGGCCTTCAATTAGGTCGAGACTGGGGACGTTTGATCCTGAATGCAAGGTGCTGGCAGTTGGATCCCTTCGACAACTTCCAGCATATTCCTTGACCACAGGATGTATAATGCATGTATTCAACTATGTATGCATCTATGTGTGCGTGCATGTACAATGTACACTATATGGTCACTGGGCAGCTAGGGTAGAGACATGATAAGTAGCACACGGAAAGCTCTGCTCACCAGTACCCGACATCCTTCAAGCAAGAAACCCTAAACCCTAAACCCTCAATCCTCGACCCTTAATCCTAAACCCTAAACCACCTACGTAGATGCTGAGGCATCCTGAAACCCGTACACGGTGGCCTTTGTAATCGGGAAAGGGTTTTGGGTAGAGTATTAAATATAGCTATATGGGAGTTTCCGAAAATCAGGGGTACCTTATTTTGGGCTCCTTACAATAAGGGTCCTACTATTTAGGGTACTATATTAGGCTCCCCTATTTTCGGAAACTCCCATATAGGGAAAATATTAGTAAGTCTTTCGGCCCCTATAGTAACCCTCAACCTCCCCGACAACATCTTCAAGATCGATCACAGTTAGACGTCAACCAATCCCCAACTCCCTTAAGGACGAAATGAACCCGAAAAGGGTTTAAGGTTCATGTACCATTATGGGGATTCATAGTATATGGGTATAGGGCCCCTACTTTTGACGGTCATTTGGTCCTTCAGGTCTTCTGGGACTACCATAAAAACCGCTCCTCTAGGACCTTGTCACACACAGAAATGCACACCGGTGTCTAGGCCGTGACAAGATCCCCACTGATACACAAAGCAGCGCGAGATCGTTTTTGCCAGGGAATGGAACTACCAATCTCGGTCTATGACCCCCCTTGGGCGCTATGAGCGGGCTGGCAATAGCTGCGGGACTGTTCAGTCCTTCAAGTGTACACAGAAAGATTATTATTGTTAAGCCGCCACCTCCCCATCCAACCTCCAATTTACAATCGTTTGAAAAACGAAGCCACAGGCGGAGCGGTGACCTTCCAGGCCATACCGATCCTGAAGATTGGGGTCATGCCCCATGCCTTCATCCATAAGGTTTTGGCTTCAGTGGAATGCAAAAACTCATTGGCGTGTTTCGCCAAACAAGCGGCTTCCCACACAAAATGATACGGAATGACCAACCACAGAACACGAGAGTGTTCTGAGTCAGCCTCCTGTTCATGAGCACACTCCGCCCATCTCAGATTTCGTATGGGGGGAATGTACTCACACAAAGCTTTGATGAGGGTCGACGGCTCAAAATTGTCATGTAACCTACTGATAAACGCATGTTTCGCTTTCGAGAAACACACGTGGCTACCACTCAAACTGTGCAACCTCTTAATTTGGGAAAAACGCCAGCTTGCATGCACGTGCCATGGATGTGAACTGGCCGTGCTGAGCGGCACTCCGAGTGAAGTTGGCTTGAAGTGAGGTTGAAAGCCTACTCTGTATCTGCATCGGCCATCAGCTGTAACAGACTTTGTGATCGCCAAGTTCAAGTCGAGCACAGTCAATTGGGACCTGCTAATAGCCTCCACAACGAGTTTGAAACACCCAGCTTTCTCTCTCCACCTCTCCATAAACTCACAGAATGCCATGTGCAAGCCATCCCGAAGAATCATAAAGACATCATCTCTAAAGCGCACATACAGGAGAATTCCGGTCTGGTCTTTGAGGCCTTGGTTGTGAACGAACCACGCCTCGGCCATGGAAAAGAACGCTGCATCACACAGATCCCCCGAGAAGTTGAGACCCATACCAGCACCAACAAGTACCCGCCATACTTGGTCAGTGAAAAGATGAGAACGTACATACTGGTGACTCAAAAGGAATCCGATGACATCCTTACCAACTTGCTGAAACGGTTGCGCCATCATACTTGCTCCATGTTCGGTCAAAGTAGCCGGGGTACCAGACATGAAATAGTCTTTAATATCAACCTTGACAAGTTTGATGGGGACCTCACTCTCAAACGACCTCAGTTTAACGATGAGCTCGTCAGTGTTTCGTAAAAGATGTGGAAGTCCTGAAAGCTGGTCTCTCAAGCGATGCATAAGCCATGCGCCCAAACCCGCAAAAGGATATGGACCCCCAGCGTGTATGTTGCGAAAAGATACTTCTCCTGCAGGTTTGTGGGACTTCACGGTGACATCCAGTTTCCTCACCAGACCGTCTTCATTCCCATACCTGACCGAAGAAGTGATGAGTGATACCATGGAAGACTGCTGTTCCACTCTTGCAATCTTATGTGCATGTGATACATACTGCTCCGCCACACACTTCCACGGTGGCAGAAATTCCATAGGGAACTCTTCATACCACGACTTCTGTAGGATATCACGGTGAGCATCACGAAGACACCCACGGGGCACGAGACAATACCCACCATCCTTATCCGTCGGGATGATCGCATAATATGAATTTCGTAGCCAACCCACTGAAAAACTGTCCAAAGCTGTACGATTGGACCACCTCCTCGGGTTGTGCATGTGTCTTGAAAGGGCTCTGGTGCAAGCTCGACGCATATGAGATTGGAAAAAGCTCGTCCAGCAACGAAGTTCAGGGGCAATATTGAAATCACATGGCGGTCCCGCTCTGGTGGAGGGGACCTTGAACGGTCTCGCCGAATCACTGTGTCTAAAAAGCCATCGCCACTGAAGCTTGTTGCAGAAATCACTCACATACGTCATTACCGCCTCCAGTCTCGGACGTGTAGCCCTCGAAACACGATGTTTGCGGTGATACTTGCCTAACAACAAACCCACATCCCACGGGATTGTATCAGCATCTGGTAAAAATACACTGCGCGAATCCGGATCAAACACATATACATACTGCCGGTACCTTTCCGCATGAAGCACCCTGAGCCACTCTTGATGACTGGCTCCCCTCATGAGTGCCATGAATTCCGCCACGACCGGGTCCGGATGCATCATTGTCTTGTGGGCCTTCCTCCAGTTCTTCCTCCTTTGCTTCTTTTGGGCTTGTCTGCGGTTGCTCCCACATTGTGAAAAACTGGCTGCTGCTGCCACTGCGGGTGATGCTGCTTACCATGCTGCGGAGTCTGTTGATAATGCTTTCCTTTGCCCTTGCCTTTGGGTTCTCCTTTCTGTGAAGGTTTGCCATCTCCTTTGGATTTACCCTTTCCTTTGGCGGGGACCTCATGTCCTTTGCCCTTGCCTTTCAAGGCATCCTGTCCTTTGCCTTTGCCTTGTGGGCATGCTCCTTAGTGTTGTGCATTCCTTTTGCTTTGGCCTGTGTCCTTTGAGCCAGCTCAGACTTAGTGAATCTTCGCTTGGGTGGGGCTTCCTTAGTCCAGTCAATGTGGTTGATGGGATTCTCATTCGAAGCCAAAGCCTGCGCGTAATCAACCCGCGGATCCACCATTTGCTTGGACATGTCCATCATAGCTTGCTTCACTGCCGACTCAAAGAGGTTCTTGGGGTCCTTAGCACGAATAGCATCACGGAGCTGCTCCTTCTCCTTGGCGGTCTTGGCTGCAAGTTTGTCCTGCTCAACCTTTTTCGCGGCTGCTTTGTTGACCATGGCCAAATAGAGTTCAAGGGCCTTCTCCTTGCTCACATTCGGGTTGGAGCTCAATCCAGGTGGTAACGTCAAACCAAGTTGGTTTAATGCCTGTACTTGGGCATCCTCCGGCTGCGATGCTACCTCCATGAAATGATCAAAGGTCGTGGATGCTTGCAAGGTGGACACATACTCCTTGGTCACTTCCAGGTCAACCTTCTTGTAGAACGCGGCTATTTGTAAATGAATGATGCTTAATGCTTGCTTCCTCGTAGAACCTTTGGGTATCACAATATTCACATGAGCATCTTGATGTCTGCTGTCGGCAAACGGAGAGTCCAATTCAGCCTCAGTACCTGGGCTAAAAGGTCTAACCCCTGCCGGGTATTGTCCCGAAGACAGTGTGCTGAGATCTGATGTTTGCTTCTGTTCTCGTAATCGGGCTCGTTGTAACTTCTCAATCTTGTCTGAGAACTCGCGGATTATCTGTCGTAAGCTCTTCATCACTATTGAAGGGACTGTGGCACCCAAGATTTGTTTAACCATGTCCTCCTCCCATGCTGGAGCCATGTCTTCATCCTCCATGAAGCTGGGGGTTGATCTCTTGGTGCCTCTGGGAGGCGTAGCCAACAAGTCTTCAGCAGTAATGGGCATATACCGACCGCACCGTGTGGTTCTTACTGGACCGTCGCACACAGAAATGCACACCGGTGTCTAGGCCGTGACAAGATCCCCACTGATACACAAAGCAGCGCGAGATCGTTTTTGCCAGGGAATGGAACTACCAATCTCGGTCTATGACCCCCCTTGGGCGCTATGAGCGGGCTGGCAATAGCTGCGGGACTGTTCAGTCCTTCAAGTGTACACAGAAAGATTATTATTGTTGTTGTTGTTGTTGTTGTTGTTGTTGTTGTTGTTGTTGTTGTTGTTGTTGTTGTTGTTGTTGTTGTTGTTGTTGTTGTTGTTGTTGTTGTTGTTGTTGTTGTTGTTGTTGTTGTTGTTGTTGTTGTTGTTGTTGTTGTTGTTGTTGTTGTTGTTGTTGTTGTTGTTGTTGTTGTTGTTGTTGTTGTTGTTGTGTTGTTGTGTTGTTGTTGTTGTTGTTGTTGTTGTTGTTGTTGTTGTTGTTGTTGTTGTTGTTGTTGTTGTTGTTGTTGTTGTTGTTGTTGTTGTTGTTGTTGTTGTTGTTGTTGTTGTTGTTGTTGTTGTTGTTGTTGTTGTTGTTGTTGTTGTTGTTGTTGTTGTTGTTGTGTTGTTGTTGTTTTTTTTGTTGTTGTTATTGTTATTGTTGTTGTTGTTGTTGTTGTTGTTGTTGTTGTTGTTGTTGTTGTTGTTGTTGTTGTTGTTGTTGTTGTTGTTGTTGTTGTTGTTGTTGTTGTTGTTGTTGTTGTTGTTGTTGTTGTTGTTGTTGTTGTTGTTGTTGTTGTAGTTGTTGTTGTTGTTGTTGTTGTTGTTGTTGTTGTTGTTGTTGTTGTTGTTGTTGTTGTTGTTGTTGTTACTTGTTGTTGTTGTTGTTGTTGTTGTTGTTGTTGTTGTTGTTGTTGTTGTTGTTGTTGTTGTTGTTGTTGTTGTTGTTGTTGTTGTTGTTGTTGTTGTTGTTGTTGTTGTTGTTGTTGTTGTTGTTGTTGTTGTTGTTGTTGTTGGTTGTTGTTGGTTGTTGTTGGTTGTTGTTGGTTGTTGTTGATTGTTGTTGTTTGTTGTTGTTTGTTGTTGTTTGTTGTTGTTGTTGTTGTTGTTGTTGTTGTTGTTGTTGTTGTTGTTGTTGTTGTTGTTGTTGTTGTTGTTGTTGTTGTTGTTGTTGTTGTTGTTGTTGTTGTTGTTGTTGTTGTTGTTGTTGGTTGTTGTTGTTGTTGTTGTTGTTGTTGTTGTTGTTGTTGTTGTTGTTGTTGTTGTTGTTGTTGTTGTTGTTGTTGTTGTTGTTGTTGTTGTTGTTGTTGTTGTTGTTGTTGTTGTTGTTGTTGTTGTTGTTGTTGTTGTTATTGTTGCTGTTGTTGTTGTTGTTGTTGTTGTTGTTGTTGTTGTTGTTGTTGTTGTTGTTGTTGTTGTTGTTGTTGTTGTTGTTGTTGTTAAGGCCTTTGTAATCGGGAAAGGGTTTTGGGTAGAGCATTAAATATAGCTATATGGGAGTTTCCGAAAATCAGGGGTACCTTATTTTGGGCTCCTTACAATAAAGGTCCTACTATTTAGGGTGCTATATTAGGCTCCCCTATTTTCGGAAACTCCCATATAGGGAAAATATTAGTAAGTCTTTCGGCCCCTATAGTAACCCTCAACCTCCCCGACAACATCTTCAAGATCGATCACAGTTAGACGTCAACCAATCCCCAACTCCCTTAAGGACGAAATGAACCCGAAAAGGGTTTAAGGTTCATGTACCATTATGGGGATTCATAGTATATGGGTATAGGGCCCCTACTTTTAACGGTCATTTGGTCCTTCAGGTCTTCTGGGACTACCATAAAAACCGCTCCTCTAGGACCTTGTCCAATCCCAGCAGAAAGTAGACTTGACTACGGTCAGGCGTCAAGAACACAAGCTGAAAGCTAGAACTCCTGGGCATTAGTCCCCAACTCCGACCCAACACCCCTTGCCCTCCACCTCACCCCGGGTAGCCTACCAACTAGTTATGGCAGGTTCCTTCAGATTACATACAAGTAAGGTACAGCAGCAACCAAGGATACCCTGAACCCCTTGGTACCGCCCCCAATAAACTCTAGGCATCTTTAAGACCCAATAAAAAAATTGTGAAACCCTTGACAAATCTCTGCAAAATCCTAGTAAAGCCTGTACAAAAACCCTGCAGGCACCTCCAAAACCCCATAAAACCGCCATAAAACCCAATAACGGGCCCCGGGAATCGAAGACGGCTGCAACAGCTGCGGAAGCCCACTTGTGAGAGTACCACGGGTTATACACCCCTTCTAGCACACTGAACCGGAAACCCTTACCTGGAGGGGCCGGGGACTTAGTAAGTAAGGTTATAAGTAAGTTATAAGTACCCTAAATGGAGTTACCCCAATTATAACCCTACTTACAACCTACTTACTAAGTCCCCTGCCCCTCCAAGTAGACCCTAAACCCTAAACCCCATAGATCCCTTTAAGGATCCCTCTAGATCCCTTTAAGGAGCCCTTTAAGAACCCTTACTAAGTCCCCTGCCCCTCCAAGTATGAAACCCCTGTGAAACCCACCTGGGCTCACGAGGCTCATGGCGCCGGATCGGAGCCGCCCCCGCGGGGAACGGCTTCGAGCCGAAAGCTATTTGTGGGTTTAGAGATTTAGGGTTTTAAGGTTTCGGATTTTAAGGTTTAGGGTTTGTGGGTTTAGAGATTTAGGGTTGTGGGATTCAGGTTTCGGATTTTATGATTTAGGGTTTGTGGGTTTAGGGCTTGGAGTTGGAGCCTAAGCCCTACACCCTAGGGGTTTAGGGTTTAGGAGGGTCCAGGGCTTAAGGGCCTTGAGAGATTGGGGAGTTCTCAAGGAGGTTCCTAGGACCTACTACGGTTTCCATGGACAAGCGTATGGGGTTTGTGGTTGAAGCGCTTTGGTGTTTTAAGGATCTACAGTTCAGGGGTTTAAAGGGTCTAAGACGATCTAAGTTTACGGTCCTGGGTTTAGGGCTGAGGGATCTACGGGGCGGGTTCTATAGGGACTCTACCAGGGTGAATGTGGTGGCATATGGGTGCATTACGACTCTTGGACTTAGGGTTTCCGCTTTGTGTTTTGTCCATGGAGCCCCCCGCGATGTGGATTCTTCCCGCAAGGTGGGGAACAGCCTTGTCAGCTGAAATCCCGGCACTCCATGTAAAGTCTCACCAACTTACCCGTAAGTCCTAAAGCGACAGCACAGAAACCAAGTATACCCTAACCCTAAACCCTAAAACCTAATTTTGATGGACCTTCTTCGATCCCGGATTTTCATTTCAAGATTTTACATTCTCAGGGTAGCCAAGGGAGGAGCGGAGGGAAGGGGCAGGGAATCACCTAAACCCTAATCACTAAGACCCTGCCTTAAGCCGGAATAACCTACCTTTTTAGTGTTCCTTATTATGATTTCCTCATATAAGTCCTTACAACGGCAGGTTGTTCCGGCTTAAGGTGAACCCTAAAACCCTAGTCCCGGAACCCCATAAACTCCGTTTGGAACCCTTAATGAGCCCTTTGTAGAACCCTTATAAAGCCGCCATAGAACCCCTTGAGCAAGCCTTACGAATCATGCCCTCGAGCAAGTGACTGTGGCCTTTCTACTAACCTTTCTGGCATACCAATAAGAGCCCGCGTAAAATGAAAACACCATGAGCCCTAAACCCTTGGTAGCATACCAAAGAGCCAAGCAAAAACACCTAGACCCTGAACCCAAAAGCATTTGCGGCATACCAAACCTGAAGGACCAAATGACCCTTAAAAGTAGGGGCCCTATACCCATATACTATGAATCCCCATCATGGTATATGAACCTTAAACCCTTTTAGGGTTCATTCCGTCCTCAAGGAAGCGCCAACACACTCTCCCGCCTTGAAAAGAAACTCCTGGCTTGCGAAAGGAAGCTTTTCCGCGCTGCTTGCGACCTCTGAGGCGCTGGTGATCTAGGAGTTTCTGAAGATTAGGGGTACATTATTTTGGGGGTCCACTACAAGGGTTCCTCTAAAGGGCTCTGTAAGGGTTTAGGCGGTTTATGGTTTTCGTAAAACCTTATTTTGGGGGTCCTTAAGGTTAGTATAAGGGTACTACAAAGGTTCCTGTAAAGGGCTCTGTAAGGGTTTAGGCGGTTTATGGTTTTCTAAAGTAGGGGTACCTTATGTTGGGGTCCTTACAATACGGATCCTACTATTTAGGGTATTATATTTGGGTCCCCTATTTTCGGAAAAAACTGTGGCCCAGATACGGCAGTACGGCAATATCAAGGTGACACAGCTCTGGGGTTTTAGGGACCATGAAGGCTTCTAGAATGTTTGGGGCTAGAGGTTAATAGTGGTTGGGTGCAGACTTTAGGGCTTCCGGTTGTAGGGCTAGGGTTTTAGGTTTAGGGTTTTGGTTTAGGGTTTAGGGTTTAGGGTTTAGGGTTTAGGGTTTAGGGTTTAGGGTTTTAGGTTTAGACGGCGTGCGGTGATCCACCTGAGGCAACCCTAAGCGACTGGCATACGGAACTTCACCCCGGGATGCTGGAACATGTGCGGAAGCCTGGAACCCAGACCTGAGACACGCCTACAACACACCAAACCCAGATAAATCCGCCAACCCTCCCCTACCAACACTCAAGGAAATAAGACAAACCCTTTAGGATAGAACGCACAGAACATCTCAGAATCCAAAAACTCCTTCAGCAGGGAAAACTAGGCTTAAGCCCTAAACCCGACATGTCTGTTGGAAACCCAAGTGGCTTCGCGAGCTCTTCGAAGCCATGGACGGCCTCCTCAATGGAGAGAACACCATCGCGGTTCTGCCGGCGCAGCGGGACTACTGTAGTACAATATACCCCAAAACCCCTGTCTAACGATTCATTAAGGCCCCGATAGCATCCGGGTCTGTGGTATCACCATGGCATGAAAAGGGCTTCGGAAATTCAGAAGACAAGGGGGGCTCGAACACAGAACGCTGGACAGATTTACAAATTTACCCGAAAACCACATCCCAGGCTGCATTAAAGTACTGCGCCACCATTTATGTTTGTCAGTGAGACTCAAAACTATATGGCGCCGGGTTGAGACAAGACTCAGCTTAGAGCTCACTCTGTAGTGGTTTTGGGGCCTTGAAGCTGTAGAGCTCGGAGGAGGACATTCAGGATATGGGAGGGCAAGAAACCTTGGCTTGTTATTATGGTTCCGTTACATATTTATATATATGTATATATAAATCCTAATATTTCGGTGGCAACAGGGCCAGGGTTTCTCAATCAATCAGGTTCCCATGTTATGGGGCCTGGGGCTTTGGGGCGCGCGTTGATGCTTTCAGGTCTCCTGATTCATGTTTCCAGTCCTTGAGGGTTCCATAGACTCCCAACTAGGGTGGATGATATAAATCCTGCATTACCTTAAGGACCCTAAACTATGGGAATTGTGGTATATTCCTTCTTATGGGTAATGCAGGATTTATATCATCAACAGTAGGGCTGAGTGTTCAGCGTTTAGCTTCTAGACCCTAAACCCTAAACCTAACCACAGAGCCCGAATCCCACATGCCCCCATGCCCTCAAGCCCTACACAGGCGTTCATGGTTAGGTATGCTACCGGGGCTCTCATGCTTCCTAAGTTAAATCATGTCACCACACAGGTTATCCTTCACTCCTACTTACCAATCCCCTTGATCCGGTAACAGTAACCTTAAACCCGCCACTAAGACCCTAACTGAAGCCCTGCTTTACCTCCACGAAAAAGCCTCAAACACATGCACCAACACAAACAACTACAACTGTAAAGCCCTGAACCCTTAAACTTCTATAAGGAACAACCCTGCATGACTGCTTGGAGGGGCAGGGGACTTATAGGTTCTAAGTAGGGTTATAATTGGGGGTAACTCCATTTAGGGTACTTTTAACTCTACTTATAACCTACTTACTAAGTGGACCTCATCAAACTCCTGGAAGAAGCGCCAGAGCGCCGTGTGCGGTGAGTCGTCCTCTGGCTGCGCCCAGGCTACCAGACCTCTGCGTAGTCGGGTTCTCTTAGTGCTCCTTCAACGGATCGGGCTCTCTTGGTGCTCTTTTAAGGGCTCCTTTGAGGGGCTCCTCTATGGGTTCCCGCAGGGCTCCCTTGGTGCTCCTTTAAGGGCTCCGTTAAGGGCTCTGTTGTGGGTTCTTTTAAGGGTTCCTTCAAGGGCTCTCTCTTCCTGTAAGAGTTTCTTTAAGGGCTCCTTTAAAGGCTCTGTTTATGGGTTCCATAAAGGGTTCCTTTAACAGATGTCTTAAGGGCTCCTTTCAGGGGTGTAGCTTGGGAGATTCAGTTTTGGGGTTTCTCCTTTAGGGGCTTCTTCGGGGGGGCTCGGGCTACTTGAAGGTTTAGGCTTAGGGTTTAGTGTCTTTATAGGATATATCAGGCTTCCAGCTTAGGGTTTAGGGTTTAGGGTTTAGGGTTTAGGGTTCTAGGGTTTAGGGTTTAGGGTTATAGGGTTTAGGGTTTAGGGTTATAGGGTTTAGGGTTTAGGGTTCTAGGGTTTAGGGTTTAGGGTTATAGGGTTTAGGGTTTAGGGTTATAGGGTTTAGGGTTTAGGGTTATAGGGTTTAGGGTTTAGGGTTATAGGGTTTAGGGTTTAGGGTTATAGGGTTTAGGGTTTAGGGTTATAGGGTTTAGGGTTTGGGGTTTCGGGCTTCAGAGTTCAGAGTTTCGGAGGAAGGTAGGTGGGATATTCCCAAATAAGAGTCCTTATATAAGGGATCCTTAATCCTACCTACCTTCATCCCACCTTTTGAGGCCTCCGAGAGTTTCGGCTTGTAGTCAACGGTTTCTATGCTGAACTGCTCTTGGGTTTCCGGTTCAGGGTTTTGAAACTTGGAAAAAGTCGGTGCCGCTGGACATGTAGATGACCAAGGCTCATGTTGGGAGATATCTCGCAAGACCACGGCGTCAACCGAGCACTACAGTGACAGCGATAACTCTTCTGACTCCTGTCGCTACTGGAAGCCTTCAACCTCATCCCCTGCCCTAGACCCCTAAACACTACACTTTGCTTTTGAAAGCATTAAGCCTGGAAGCGCCGTAGTTTAGCAACAGGATTTGAAGACTGTCTCGAGTGTAGGACCTACGGAGTAATCCTGAACCCCAAGAACAATCCTAAATCCAGAACCCTGAACCCCAAAAACACGCACAAACTCGAAAACACTGCAAGCTCCAAAATAAGAAGTGTTTTTCCGCATAGCATCGTAGGATTTCTCGAAAGGGGGGAGGTTGGAGTCTTCTAGCTAGGGTTTAGGGTATACGGCTTTAGGATAGGGTTTACGGTTTAGAATTGAAAGGCATTCTTTCGACTGTTGTGGTCAAGGGACTTTGCCGTAGCTCTGTGAGCTCGTCCACAAGGGACGCTGGAAAGTCCTTAGGAACGGATTTTGGAGATAAGGGGTTGCTTTGGGCAGGAATTTAAGGTTTAGAGCTTTATCAGGACTTAGGGTTTAGGCTGCACTTTTCAGGGTGGTTTATGATTTAGCGGTCGGCATGTCGAGTTGGTGGAGTGCATACAATCTAATGTGCACGGACGTGCGCAATGTTTCCGCTTGGACTGGCTCTGCAGACATTGAGAAATGAGATTAGGCGAATGCGTGGCACCAGCTATTCTTATGCCATATTTACAATCGAGCTGCCAAATCCGACAAACCGTCATACTTGCCGTTCAGCCAAACATGATACTACAACCGTGCGCAACAATAGTTCAAAGTTATGGACTTCTCCACAGAGCTCTGGAAAAACATCGTCGACGTGAGTGTTTGGCTGAATCAATTGTCTCTTCTGATCACTAATGTAAAGGCAATGCCTTCGGCATACCTTTTCTTTGCATGTCGAACGCGTCTTGAACTTTGCATAAGATTCCGTCAATCCAGACCCCGCCAATCAAATTGCCCCACTTGTGTTGTAATTTGCGGGCTAGCCCAGTGATGTGTACACCCATATCGAAAGCCACCCATGGAACTGCCAAGCTAGCTGCCGCGAGCGCTGCTACGCCGGCATCTCCAACCATGTCAGACTTACAGAGCTGGAAGCGGGTCAAGTGCTTGCATTCCACAACTGAGGCTGCAAGACCTTCTACACCAGAATCTCCGATGTTGCTACTCACTAACACAAGCTCTGACAGGTTTGCGCAGCTGACACTTGCTCTGGCAAGAGCTCTAGCACCGGCATCATCAAGGCCATCCCCTTGCACGTTCAACCTTCGCAGCTTTTCAGGTCGAAGGCGTTCAATACAATGTGCCAGTTCCAAAATACTGTGCCAGGGGCCCTTGTTGATGCAGAGGGACTCCAGATTAACGAAATGAGGTAAAGCATTGGTCAAGGTTGCTATCTCTTGCTGGGGCAGAAACCATGCAGTGAGTCCAGTGCGGAGCCTTGCATGCTCGAGAAAGACTTCCTCCTGCAACTGAGTCACAAGTTCTTTGTCTGAGCGATGCGTAAAGTTCAAGCACAAGCCGTCCGCGAGCCCTTGGTCGCCTCGAGCCACCCGCTCCTGAAACTCTTCCGGTGTCATTGGAGAAAAACCAAAGAACCCATCCTTCGTGCTCATCCATTGAACTTCGGCAACACACCAACCTCGCATGAAGTACGGTGTGCTGTTCGGGACCAGCTCAGCAAAGGGCCGCGGCTCAAACTTGCCGGTTTTTCACAATAGATGCTGATGGAACCAGAAGTCGATTTTTCGCACTCAGGCGTCAGCTCCTCTAAGCGAATCACTCGGCAGATGTGCTTGTGGGCATAGAGCAGATGCATCGACCTCATGGCTCTCATGAAGAGTTCCTGCTCCTCCTCACTGCGCCGGTACTGAGGCAAACACATGAAATCAATGAATATCCAGATCTGAATGTCACAGCCTCTCAAGATAGCCACAAAGTCGGGACGGAATGAGAGACCTCCTTCATCACGATATTGCAGGAGCTTCTACAGCTGCCAACCCCATGGGTCGGGATGTTGCTTGGACTCCCATGTGTGTGACACAGACAGGATCACCCGGTCTCCACTCATGCTTGCATCCCCGATTCGCAGTCCCGGATTGCGGATTTCCTCCATCGTCACTAGTGCTGTGCGGATCTTGCCATCAACGTCCTCAAACTCTTCCGCCTCCGCCTCCTGGCGCCGCGGCCAAACCCGACCGTCCTCCGCGAGCTTGAAAAGGTATTCTAGCCGCACCAGTCGGATGTTGGCCTCGACCAAGAAGTTCTGGAGATGCTTCGGATCCTTTAATGCCTGCTCCAGTGGCGCCGCTCGGCCTGACGCTGTCCCCCCCTGTGGAATCGAAGTCATGAGGTCCTCAACGTACGAGTTTGCAATTTGTGACACAGCCTCTTCCCCAAGCTCCTCTGCAGCTTCCCTCTGAGACCTAGCATGCTGCACTGGTTCCGGCTCCATCTTCTCCATAGCACAGGAGCCGCGTCACTAGCAGGAGGGGCCTAGCAGGCCTAGCAGTTATTGAGCTTCAACCCGCGACATGCACACAGGCTGCACGACTACGAGCGAGCAAACCCTCCAGTGAACGTGTCTGCTGAAGTGTGTTCTGAAGGTCAAGTCTCAGCGATGCCCGCCCAGGACATGTAACGTCATTTCAGGCTTCAGGGCTAAATGTCTGGAGCCTATCTACGTGGATGATGTCATGACGGCGTCGCACCTGCACTTGCCCGCTCTGTATCTCTCTCTATCTCTTGCGCCTCTATCTCTCAATCTCCATTTGTATCTCTATCCACATCCATACCATGTATTCCAGGTCCATCTAACTATCTAGCTATCTATCGCTCTGGCGATCTGTCTGTCTGTTTGTGTGTCTGTCCGTCCGTCTGTCTGTCTGTCCGAAAGTCGGTCCCTCCGTCAGTCAACCAGTCATATGCATGGCTCAAGACAACCTACCATTCATGAAAAATGGAGGACCATCACACACACACACACACACACACATTAGCATTTACAGAATGTGAATAAACACAAAACCTGCAATCTCTCTCTCTCTCTCTCTCTCTCTCTTGTCTATTTATCTGTCTATCTGTCTATCTATCTAGATATCTATCTTTATATAGCTATGTATGTAGTATATAACTATCTATCTATATATATATATATATATTTTATATATATATATATATATATTATATGTATATATATATATATATATGCGTGTGTGAAAAAACCACTTCTCTGAGCCTCGAGACGACGACCCACCTGAGCTCCGGGCCGGCGAAGGCACGAAGCTGAGCAGCCGGTCGACGACGGTGCCGAAGAAGAGCTCCTGCACTTTCAAGGGTTCCTAGGGGTTTAGGGTTTAGGTCACCTTAGGAGCTTTAGAGGTTTAGAGGTTTTTGAGGGTTAGGGATTTAGGGCTTAAGTCACCTTAGGAGCTTTAGAGGTTGAAGGGTTTTGAGGGCTTAAGTCGCCTGAAGAGCTTTAGAGGTTGAAGGGTTTAAGGGTTTCAGTCGCCTTAAATAAGGGGGTTAAGGTTTAGGGGTTTAAGGGTTCAGGGGTTTAGGGCTTAAGTCACCTTAAGAGCTTCAGAGGTTTAGAGGTTTAGGGTTTGGAGGGAGTATCGGGGTTAGGTCACCCGGACAGCTTTAGAGGTTTAGGGGTTTAAGGGTTTGGGGCTTTGGGGGTTAAGTCACCTTAAGGGGTTTAAGGTGTAGGGTTTAAGGGTTTGAGCTCCTGCGCTTGGGCTTCCAAGGTGTTTCTAAGGGCTTCCGACGGTGTTTCAGGGTTTAGGGGTTAAGTTATCTTAAGGGGTTTAATGGTTTAGGGTTCACGGGTTTAGGGGTTTAGGGTTGTGGGCTTGTGGTTCGGGGGTTCGGGTTTTAGGGTTTTGGTGGTTTGGGTCGGATTCTATTCTATGGGCCTTCTAAGAAGTAAAGAGTGGAGATTAGGATTTTGAGATGGCCTGGTCTTGTAATGACTGTAATGGGGTTCAGGGTTTAGGGAAAGTTAGGGCTCGAAAGGAGCTGGGTGTCCAAAAGGCTTCGAGTGTTTTTGACAGAAGCGAGAAACATCAGGGAAACCAGCATCGGTCCCTGTCGAAGTCGTCAAGAACAGACGTGGGCGGGCTTCCAAGGTGCCACCGACACATGTCCACCACGCTGTCTCGAGACCCAGCACGTTTCCCAGAGCAGAGGCTTGCTTGCGCTTCTTGCTGCTTCCTCCGCCTGCCATTGCCCATGATTTGTTTGAGTTCGAGACCGGATCTGTTGGAACCCCCGGTCGAATGCGAGGAGTATGTCCTGACAAGGTTCATCGGAACCCTTTACGAGATAGTCTATGTCTGAGTCTGACGTGACAGTTTATTCTCAAGGACCCTCCCTAAACCCTAAACCCCAAGGAGACGATGATGAACGACTGGGCACCTGGTATGTGTGTGTGTGTGTGTGTGTAGGATTCCTTGTGCTTGCTGAGGTTATCGCTGCGTTGTCTACCTTTCGAGATCCTAGACCTTAAAGATTAGGGTTTAGGGTTTAGGGGAGAACCCAGAAAGGGTTCGGCGTTTGGGGATTACTTGGAGGTTTAGTTATAAGTGGGGTTATGAGTCCCCTAATATGGCTTATAAGTATAGTTACCCTACTTATAACCCTACTTATAACTACGCATAACCTCCGACTGGGGTGTGGATGTGTCGGATGCAGCTTCTGGTTTCGGGAGCTTCTTCTCAGAGTAGGTCAAGGAAACTGCAGCAGAGGTGCAGGGAATAGACACGGGTGTTTGGCAAAGTTATGGTCCCTTTTTGGATCCTTATTACAGTACAGCACCTAGTATTTAGGGTACCCAAAAAGGGACCATAATTTTGACAACTTAGAGTTCTCCGTGAATGGCCACGAAGATGAATCGAGCAAAGCATCCACAGAAACCGGGTCGGGGTTAGGTGCGGGTACATCTTTGAAGTTTTCGATGGCGGTTCCATGAGGCGTTCCATGGGAGGTTTATAAAGGGCGGTGTAGAGTACGAGGTTTAGATTTTTGGTGCATCTCGGTGCTTTTTGCCATTTCGGATTTAGGGTTTTCAGTGCTGTTGGGTTTAAGTGGAGCAGTTCAGGGATGCTCTTACCGTCAGACCTTGAACAAGAACTTGCTACGTAATCGAAATAATGTTTTAGATCTGCTGATGGCCCCAATTCTGGTAGCTTCCCGCTTATCGAAGGGCTTCTTCAACCTTCTACGTATCCCTGAACCCCTATGCACCTAAAATCCTTAAAGAACTCTACTTGGTAAGTCCCCGAACCTCTGAGTGGCCTTTTGGCTTAGTTTTTGGCCTATGGACACCCGGTGTTGATGTACGGCCCAGGGTCAAAGGTTTAGTGTAGATGAGTTTCATGAACGTCTATGCTCTAAATCTGAGGATGGCAGCATGCCCAGTCTTATTTTGGGGGTCTTTATGATAAGCATGCTACTATTTAGGGTACTTTAATTGCAGTCCCCTATTTTTGGAAACTCCCATATAGAACCAGCCCGGAGCCTTTACAGGAGCCCAATCAAATCGTACGGAAACCCCACCCTCACCAAGAAAGTATTGAAGTATGGTACTCCAGAATCCAGTCTTTCACCCTCAACCCCTAAACCCGTAAACCCTAAACCCTAACCCCCTTAAACCCTAAACCCTACATCCCCTAAACCCTAGACCTAACACCCCTAAACCCTTACAGAAACCCTATAGGAATCCTGAAGGGTAGCCTTAATGAACCTCGTTGTGGCTCCTTCATCTCGGGATCCAAGAGGTGGCATAGCTCCGCCGCCTGGCGAGGGAGGCGATGCCGAACTGCGGAGGCTTTAGCGTTTAGGTCCGTCTTCGGGATTCAGGGTTTAGTGGAGTTAGCGGAGTTAGGGGTTTAGGGGTTTAGGGGTTTAGGCTAGGTCTGTCTTAGGGTTGTAGGGTTTAGGGTTCAGGGTTTGGGGTTTAAGCCTAACAAATGGAAGTTCGGCTCTTCATCGTCTTGCAGTACTGGGAGAGGGGTTTCTCTTTGTTTGGGAGTGTGCGGCTGTTTGAATCGGCGGTTAAGGAGGTTTGAGGGTCCGCTCCTTTCTCAAAAAGGGGCTTAGGGCTGCTTCAGTGTTAGAGCTTCACGTACGTTCTTGCAATGAGGTTGAGGGCTTTTTGAGGCTTTTTGTTTGTGTAACGAAGGTTAAGGGCTTGCTTGCGTCCGGGGTGATTCATGGGATGCTACAAGGATCAACTGTGAAAGGGCTCCTCGGGGTCTTCAGGTTCGAGACTTTGGGGAATTTGGATGCTGGCATGAGTCAGCCTCAGGATTCCCGAGTGCCAGGATCTACACGAGGCAGGGGCTTGGAGGCTAAAACTTTTATGCACATGCTTCCCTAAAGCCTAAACACACCCTAAACCGAGGGAAACTTATGTGCAAACGGCCAGAACATGCACTACTAAGTTGTAAGGAGGCCCGAATATCCGTGGAAACACGAATTGAAACGCGTCAGAGTCATACAAGCTAAGAAGCTAATCTATAAGAGCCCAAACTGTGTGTGGAGCTTGGCTACGCATAACTCAGCTTAAGGCTTTAAGTTGTCTAAAGTGGCTTCTGTGAAGTTATCCCAAAATCTCAGCTCACGATTATTTCGCAATTTTCGCAAGGGCTTTGCTGGCAGAAGGAGGTTGTTGTCAACGAGCGTTCCCTTGCAGGTGCGAATGTCCGCGATGCTAGTATGGCGACTCCAGCCATTACTTGCTGCCATGATCTCCAACAAAGGTGTAGAAACCGGGGTTCGTGCCAGGGCCCCTAGTAGGTCCTAGTATGGACATCATTTTGGGATTTCTGGCTCCGGGCTCTGAGAGTACCCATCTTGTTGGCAAGTGGACCTCCAAAGGCACTCGAGCTTTGCAAGAACCTCCCGATTGCTGCGAACCCTCCTTCGGAGGGAACTCTGAAAAACCACGAGTGCAACGAGTTTTGAGCTCTTCCGGGTGGGGAACATGTTGAGTCTTGAGGGCTAGAGTTTAGGAATTCCAGGTCATTACAGTAAACCCTATAAAGCCCTAGACCTCAAACCTTAAACCCTAAACCCTACTTCAAACGACCCGAAACCCTAGCCCCTAAACCAGGCGCTCTTACTTATCGTGGCTCTTGTGGGGTACACTCCATAGGGCTCTTGACTGAAGACCTGGAGGTTTTCTCGGTGTCGCAGTCTTTCAGGAGTCTACTCTAGCCTTCATGACTACAAGAGGGGTTTGGGGCATGTACAGAGATATACTTAGATAGACAGACAGAGAGATAGATACATGGATAGATCGCCATCTAACATTTTTGACTGGCATTGCTATTTATTCCGACCCCGATAATATGCCTTGCGGCACCCGGCCGGGCAGCCGACAGAATGCAACCGCCTCTTCACAGTCGCAAGCGTCGGGTCTAGTATTCAAACCTCATTCATGGACACAAGCACGACCAGTCTTCTAGCATAAACCCGAAAACCCACACCCCGTGACAGCCCTCAAGCCCCATAACAACCCGAACACCCTAACCATAAAGCCCTAAACCTCACCAGACTGGTGACGAAGGCGCGGCTCCGGTAAGCTCGAACTCAGAACATGAATCGAACCTGTGCTGATATTCTAGTTTAGGCTTCGGGGTTTAGGGTTGTACTCAGAAGAAACGTGCATGGGAATTGCCGTAAGGGGTACTATCCTTTCACGGATCTGGCTCACAAGGAGTCTTGTCAGGGCTTCTTAAACCTTACGGCTAATGTAGGAACCTGGTTAAGAAACCTTGGGCCTTTATTTGGGTTCCTTGTATGAATCCTACTTTTTTTTTCGGGTTACAGGGCCAGGGTTTCTTAATCAGGTTCCTACAATGGATTCGGAGTCTTTGTGGGTTTGATTCAGCGGTTCGTTGTGATCGCTTTGCGGGCTTTGGGCTTAGTTCTAGGGATTGGCTTTGGGGCTTCGGGTTTGGGGTGTTGGTGTCAAGGGCTTCGACGTTAATCTTTGCTTTAGGCAGCTTTGGGATGATGGTGGAGGTAGAGGCTCTGAAAAAGGTATGAAAGTACGGCTGATGGACAAAATCCTGCATGACCCTAAGGGCTCTAAACTATGGGAGTTATGGTATATTCCTTATAAAGGGTAATGCAGGATTTTGTCCATCAGCCGAATGGTACTCCGAAGCCCAAATTCTTATCCCTGGTGGTCACACTTCGTGAGAGGAGGCCTCTCCTTCAGAAGACAACCCCACGCCCAAAACTGGGTTCCTGTTAAGGAATGCAGTTTACATTACCATAATACGGGTTCACTGTCATTTACTATAGATTCCCTTTTATGGTAACTTAAGCTCAATTGATTAACAAGGCTTGTTAATCAATTGCTTCAAGAGCCTAGAAAACAAGCTCAAGGAGCTCCAAAGACAGAAGCTCCCAAAAAGTAAACCAAAAGACCGAAGCCCCGAAACTCAAGACAAGCAGGGTTCCCGAACCGCCAACTCGAACATGCTCAAAACCTTGAACCCCGAATCGGTAAGGTTTTAGGGTTTAGGGTTTAGGGTAGGCTTTGGGTTTTGGGTTAGGGGCTTGTGCTTCCAGCAGCTACTCCTTCCTCATCTGCGTCGGCGTCGGAGAAACCGGTCATTGTGCTTTGCCTGGGTTCTTGTTAAGGAATTTGGGTAGTTGTCCAAATTAAGGTCCCTTTTTGGGTACCCTAAATATTAGGTGCCGTACTATATTGGGGACCCGAAAAGGGATTAAGAAACCTCGGGTCTTCCTTGGGGTGCCTTATATGAATCCTAATATATTGGGGTTATAAGGCCAGGGTATCTTGATCAGGTTCCTACATTACCAAAATGAGGAAACCATGTCATTTGTTGTAGAACTTACACTAAATCCCTTCACAAGAACCCAGTTGCATCCGGTCCAATCGGTCGGTGGGAAGCCGGCGAAGCGGATGCGTGCTCGTGGTGAGGCTCCTTTGTTGGGTGCGTTGGTTCAGGGCTTTCAGGGTTTGGGGTTTCGGGTTTAGGAACCCTCAACCCTAACACCACCTTGAAACTGCATGTTGGTTTCTGGCTCACAGATAGATACGGGCCATGAGAGTCCCTGGGCAGGCTTAGGGCAGGCCTTTTCGGGGCTGGGGGGTTCAGAGGCATCCGAGAATCAATGTTTCTGCTCTGGTTGAGTTTTCAGGGTTCTCTGCGCCACAGATCTCCAGCAGATGTAACATGCTACCAGCTTGTCGAGCTCCTATCGTGGCATTTGTGGTATCTAATTGCACAACGAGATTTCAACAACAAGCAAGATCTCATTGCTTGAGAACCCAGAAAGGGCAACCCTCGATGAAGAGACTGTTCAAAGCCCTCAACCCTTGCAAACGCCAAGCTGCCCCAAACCCCGTATAAGCCCTCAAGAACCTCACTGATGAACCATGAACCTTAAAGCCGAAAAAACTCATAAACCTTAAACCCAAGAAGAGACCCCAAGAAACCGCTTAGAACACCTACACCAGGTTTCTTCAGCTGCTTCTCCATGCCCTCCACGGTCTTCAGGATCTTCCTCACATCCTTCGGCTTCAGCCCGTGAACTCTCAGGCTTTAGGGTTTAGGATTTAGAATTTAGGGGTTAGGGTTTAGGGCTTAGGTGGCCAGAAAGTACACCAGGGCTGAAATGGGATCGACATGCCGTTTCATGAAGTTTTCTGACTTTCTATACGCTCTTCATTACATGTACGAGGGTTTTACGCATCCTAAACCCTAAACATCCAAACCAAACCCTGTATCCAAGAATCCAGCCAGGGCTATACATGGGCTTTCTGGGGCTTAGACCTTCGATCGTCGAGTTGGAGGTCGAAGGGTTTAAGGCTGCAGGGCCTTGCTGTAACACAACCGCTCTATGCTTAGGATGAATGGTGGATGGCAATCACATACAGGGTCTAAGTCTAGGGGCCTCCACATGGACACTACAGCTCCAAGCCGGAAGCTTGAAGCCATAGACCGCCTTGCCGGAAAGAAAAAGTCCTCAAACCTAGATCCCCGAGCGCCAGCAGCACGTGAATCCAAAAGCAATCCCAGATCTAATTGCAGAACAAAGCCTAGACCCTGAATCCGATACAGTACCAGGAACTTTCATGGAGCCATACTGGTCCTTGAGAGTCAGCATCTAGGTATAATGCAGGTTGGTTGGGGGGTCTAGGTCAGGTAGAACCCACAAGATTCCACGTTCATGGTTGGGATAGGATTAAAAACTTACATTTTTATTCCTTATTGGGTTTAGGTACCAAAAAAATGTAAAATGTTACATGACAGAGATTCTAGGATGCACCGGATTAGCGCCCAGGCCAAACCTTGAATACTAAGCCAGCCCTGTATCCCAGCCGGAGCCGTCTGAGGGTTCGCGGTTACTGGGCTTTTGGGTTTAGGGTTTAGAATTAGGGTTGGGGGTTTAGGGCTTAGATTAGGGTTTAGGGTTTAGATGTGAGGTTTAGGGTTTAGATCTAGGGTTTAGGGTTTAGATTTAGGGTTTAGGGTTTAGATTTAGGGTCTAGGGTTTAGATTTAGGGTTTAGGGTTTAGGGGTGCTGGGTTTGGGGTTTAGGGCTACTGCAATTATTGGAAACCCGGAGGTGGCCTTCAACCCCAACCCCCGAAACCCATGACTTGGGCAAAAACCTAACAGAAACAACACCAGAAACTCATGACGTGGGTCGATCCCCAGAGATACTTGGGGGATCATGGGACTTAGTAAGTAAGGTATGACCCCACTTAGGGGACTTATAACCCCAATTAGAACCTAGTTACTAAGTCCCATGATCCTCTAAGTACCTACAATAATCCCTTTGTGCCGACCCGGAACCCAAACCCTCAAATCCAAACCCCTAAGAAGCCCGAACAGCGAACCAAACAAAGGCCATTGACAGCAAGAAGAGCTGATCGCTCAAAAATTAAGTCCTGAACACTCAAACCTATACTGAACTTAGAACCCTAGCAAAAATCATAATTTTTGCTGTTTCTTATGGGTTATAATAACCAAAAAATAAAAATTAATTTCTAAGCACCCCTAAGAAACACTGTAGACCCGGAATCCTGCAACCCAAACCCCAAAACCCCAAAACCCCAAAACCCAAACCCTAACCCTAAGCCCTCAACCCCAAACTCAAACCCAAAGCCCAAATCCCCAACCCTAAACCCTAACTCCCCAAACCCTAAACCCTGAACTCCCTACACCCTAAACCCAAAACCCTCAACTCCATAAACCAAAAACTCCGTAAACCCTTCACAAAACCCGAAGCCTAAACCCTAAACTCCAAAACCCCCAGACCCTAAACCCTAAACCCTGAATTCCCTAAAGACTAAACCCTAAACTCCGTAAATTCCAAACTAAACCCTAAAGGTTTAAAGGCTCCGATGACCCCGAAGACGCAGCCCAAGGAAACCCGCGGAGTCGTCCTGCGCCTTGCTGGTGCCACTAAGCTGCGAGACGCCTTTTCGGGGGTTATAAGGGTTGAGGGTTGAGGGTTTAAGGGGTTTAGGGTTTAGGATTTAGGGTTTAGGGGTTTAGGATTTAGGGGTTTAGGGTTTAGGATTCAGGGGTTTAGGGGTTTAGGATTTAGGGGCTTAGGGGTTTAGGGTTCAGGGGTTTAGGGGGGTTTAGGGGTTTAGGCTTCAGGGGTTTAGGATTTGGGGATTTCGAGGCCAAAACATCTCCGCAGGGTTCGAACAGAATTCTATACGGGAAATGGCTTAGGCTTTGGGTTTACGCGTTTGAGGTTTGGGGGCTCAGTCATGCTTTTAAACCCAAAACCCTGAACGAACAGACCTCGCCGAACTGAAAAGCCCTAGCCTAGTTCATAGGTGGGATAGAATCAAAACATTACATGTTTATGCCTTATTGGGCTTAAGTTACCATAAACATGTAAAATGTTACCCAACTATGGAAAAGTAGCCTTGCACAAGCTCCGTGGCAGATAAACGGCCGTCGCCATTGGTGTTCAGCATCTTGAACAACTCCTGCCGTAGGGCTCGTTTGAGAGTTTAGGGTTTTGGGGTTTAGTAGGGTTTAGGAAAGGCTTTCCAAGCTTTCTATACGGCTTAGGAGGACAAGTGCGCCATGAAGCTGGCGACATACCTAATACACCTCTAGCTACCTTCGAGTTTCCGAAAATTGGGGGGTACCATATTTTGGGGTCCTTACAATAAGGATCCATAGTCTTTAGGGAACTATATTAGGATCCCCTATTTTCGGAAACTCCCACCTTACTTGGAACCCTATACCCACAGAACCCCATATCGCCTAACTAAGGCATTTACCGTAAATCATATTAGGGATCCTATTATAGTTTAAGGTATATTCCTTAATTAAGGGGGTATTGGGATCTCTGGGTATACTTGCTACGAAGTTCCTCTTAGTAGGTCGTCCCTGGTCGTCCTCAGAAATTCAGCCCCGTAGTGTCAACCCAGGGCCCTGCACCCTTTTCAGGGTGTAGGGGTCGTTCGGGTTTAGGGTTTGGGGGTGTGGGGTTTAGGATTTAAGGGTTTAGGGTTTAGGGGTATAGGGTTTAGGGGTTTAGGATTTAAGGGTTTAGGGGTTTTGGGTTTAGGGTGAAATTGGTGCTGGGGTGCTAGAGTGGAGGACGATTAGAGTTTGAGGTGGCAGGAACCATTGCTAAACTCTGACCCCAACCCAAAAAGTACTTGCTAACAACCTCTCAAGCCGGTTTTCTCAGAATCGCCCCTGCCTCGACGTTGCTCACATCCAGCTCCATTGCGGCCAGCCACATCCTAGGCTCTACTTAGGCTGTGTGCTTAAGGATTCGGGTTTACGAGGTTTATGGTTTAAGAGTTTAGGGTTTAACGACCTGAAGGACCAAATGACCCCCAAAAAACAGGGGCCCTATACCCGCATGCTATGAATCCCTATAACGGTATATGAACCTTAAACCTTAAACCCTTTTAGGGTTTATTTCGCCCTTAGATTAGTGCGTAGTGCATAGGGATGCGTAGGGTTCAGGTGTTCCATCATGTTGCGCGGGCTCGTGCTCGGCATCTATGGATCCACATGGGTGGCTGTCGAAATTATGGTCTCTCTTTGGGATCGCTACTATAGTACGGCACCTAATATTTAGGGTATCCAAAAAGGGGCCATATTTTTGACAACCACCCACATATCAACTCGCCAAGACCGCAGCGTAAAACCTGCGCCAACAAGGGCTGCTAGTGTTTATAGCATATACAGACCATGGCTCCTACAAGGAGAACTCCTGGTAAAACGGCTGAATGCTAAATCCCAAACCTTGACCCCAAACCCGGACTCCTTATTCCCTGTTACCAAAACCCGTCACCCGTAAGTCACCCAAAAGGTACAGAGCCCAGCATCTTGATTTCCTGGTTCGTCATGATCCGCTCAAACTCCTCCAGCCACAGCGTGGCAGATTAGTTCTTCAAGTCAAACTTCTGCGACGTCCAACTCTCTCCAGTGATGTGTGCAGCGAAATGATCTAATGATTTGACAGAGTTAAAGGGCATTAGAGGTTTCAGCGCATCACAGAGCTACTGCTTCTTGGGGCCAAGTCCGTCATGGCCTCTGCTTGAGGTTCCATGACCATTTGGGGGAAGATAAAACTCACATACTGCATCTCCATGTGGGTAGTTTTGTAAAAATTCAGGTACCTTTTGGGGTCCTCGTTACAAGGGTGCCGTACTATTTTGGGGGACCCAAACGGGACCCTAATTTAAAAACTACCCGTGTAGCAAACGTGCGCAAATACAAATTACTGTCAAGAAAGCCGCTCAAAGGGAAACCCAGACCCTGGCCCCACTAACCCCAAGGCCCTAAACCATAAAGAACTAAAAATCCATCAGCGGCCACGTACCCTTCTAACCTGATCACCCAAGTTGCCGCCTCGAGATCGAGCTTTCCGTCCCTAGAGGTATCTGCACCATGGAAGAGCTCCGACATCTTGGCGACGTGATGTCGCATCGCTTTCACCTGGGTTCCATGGCCCAAGTAGGGCTACAGTAGAAGCCTAAAAGGAAACCCAGTAGCCTCAGTCCTTAAGAGTATTGCAGAGGGAATCCCAGCACTATTTGGCATTAATCCGGCTTCCAACTTTATGGGGTTTACTAAAGGGGTATAGGGCTTACCGGGTTTATGGGTGTAGGGGTTTAGGAGGTTATGGTTGAGGGGGATAATGGAGTTGGAGAAGCGGGACCCATACTTACGGGGCTTTATGGGGCCATATGGGTTGTCTTGGTACCTTTACAAGGGAAGCACAAGGAAACTAGGGGTTTCGAGAAGGGTGCCCGAACACTTGTTAAACATATATATGTATAAAGACATTGTATGATAGGTCGTTATTACTGCAAAAAACTCCCTTCATTAAACACGCTACCCCCAAACTAATCTTGTGAAACCCCAACATCAGGTCTACGAAACATGAAGACTACCCTTAGGTTATAGCACTATAGAGGTGATATGCTCAGAAACCCTAAGCAGTAGTATGCGTAACTGCCCAGTCCCCTATGTTACTGCTAAAATACATAGATCTCTCTATTACCCTTGACAGAAACCCCACCTTCTCTCGAACCATCACGGTGTCATCCAAGTAGGCCACCTGTGTTCTTCTGGGGCTTGCGCACTAGGTCGTTTGGGAGAAGAGGTGCTGATTTTGGCGGCCACCTCTGCGTGGTGTTTTCCTTCTACCCGACTCAAAATCTTCGTACCCTAAACCCTACAGTAGAAGCCAGAAAGTTGGAATATCATTATCGTAACCCCTTTAAGGTAAATTATAGGGGATCCTACCATTAATCCATATTCCAACTTTCTGGAGTTCCCTTTAAAACATCAACCCGACCCGTTCCGCCTTGAAAGTTTCCTGCATGAGGACCGCGTTGATGACACCGATCACGGCAAAGCCCATGGTAAGCTTATGGATCAGGCAGCCCACGAGCCACCTGGCTGGCGGTTTACGGCTTTAGGGTTTTGGGATTTAGGGTTTTAGGGTCTAGGGTTTAGGATTTGGGGATTTAGGGTTTAGGGTCTTAGGGCCCCCAAAAAAAACACTCAAGCAAAAAGTTAGGACAGGGATACCCCATATAGACCCCCTTGTGAAGAGGCACGGATATCCCCATAAAATGCTTATGCTTATGTGCTTGTGGGGTCCCAGGGATTAGGACCAGCCACCTGGTTTACAGTTTGAGTCTAGGGCTCAGGGCCATTATGGTTCTACGTACTTGGTTTAGGGTTCAGGCTTAGAAAACAGGGTTTGGGGCTTTGAGGTGGGGCCCTCAAATCCTAAACCCTGCACCCAGCAATTTAGTGCTTGTCAACTTCTGAATCAGGCAGCCCTGAAGCCACCTTCTGCAGAATGCTTGCTCCGGGGTCCAACTGCCGAATGATTCGTATACTCCCCAATTACGGCTGCCTCAAACCCGAACCCCAGCCCCCCGTAAAGCATCCGGGGCTTGGAAACTTCGCTTAGCCTCTTGCGTGGCTTGAGGCTGAAGGACGTCTAAGCTTCTTATAAGGGTTCCGCATATTTGCAGGGCTGTGTGCCTTTGGGCCCCGGGACCTTCGCCTTAAAGTCCTAAGCACGAGAGGTCAGCGGCCCCAAAGCTCCTAAACCCGACAGCCCTGAAGCCCTAAATACACCGGGCGGAGCACCACTCCTACACTCCAAACCCTAAACCCTAAACTCCAAACCCTAAACCCTAAACTCCAAACCCTAAACCCTAAGCCTACACCCGGCGGAGCACCATTCGCTGACATCTTCAACAAGGAGGCGGCAGATCGGAGCAAAGTTGGCGAAGGTCAACTCGAAGAGAGAAAGAAGTGAGCGGCTGAAACTTCCGAAGTATTCATACCTGGACTCTTGGGTTTATAGGGTTCCGGGGGGGTTCTTCGGATGGTTCGGAAGTTTGGGGCTTAAATAATTATAATACTGGTTCGGGGATTGGGGTTGAGGTGGGAGTGAAGCTCTTCAGACTTTTGTGCATTTTTGGTGATATTGCGGAGACTTTTAATAAACCTCCGACTTGCCTTTCTGGGTTGCTTTAGAGTTCAGAAAAACTGTATGTATATATATATATATATATACACTAAAACTTTCACCCGCGTGAACGGTTGAGGGTGTTAGGTTCAGGGTTTTGGGTTTTGGGTTCAGGGTTTAAGGTTCAGGGTTCAGGGTTTAGGGTTTGGGGTTTAGGGTTTGCGGTTTAGGGTTTGGGGTTCAGGGTTTGGGGCTTAGGGTTCAGGGTTTCAGTGCGGCACTGAGTTTTGTATGGTGACCCTGTGCAATGCGTGTTTTCTCCGGAGCCTGTTCATGATTTGACAATTGCTGTTCGGCCGTCTACAGTGTGCAACAGACTCACCCAGATTTGGAAAAGCATTTTACAGCATTTTCGTTTGTGAACTGTCAATCTTACCTGAGTAGAGGAACAAGCTCGTTTTAGCAGGCCTCTGGCTTGATAGTGACGGGCAGTGTAGGCAGGATGAAGGACAACAACAGGAGGGGGGAGGGCACAGAAACATCAGCGCCACGCTCGGGTTTAGGGTTGAACTACAAAAGCAAGCTCCTTTCTCGCTGTAGTCTAGCAGGGCTTGGGTTTAAGGAGTTGGGTTGAGGAGCACTCGCTGAGAGGCTTGTGTTGGTCGATATCGAGAGGGAGGGTTCCGCCCGCTCAGAAGAATCACTAAAACCCTAAACCCTTAACTCTCGATCCTAAACCCTACACCCTAAATCCCTAAACCCTAGATCCCCAATCTCTGCACCCGAACCCCGAACACAGGAACCTTGTCTGAAGTTCAACGCTGTGCTATAGCCCCCAACTCCCAAACCTTTAACCTCAAACCCCTAATACAGGTGCCTTCATAATTATTTTGGTGTATACTGAAGCATGGTGTAAGAAGGAACCTAAGGACGAGTAGTGCTAATCATTCAGTTCCCCATATTAGCACTCAAACCTCACCAAGGTCTAAATCATGCACTCGAAACCTAGGTAATATTCTGAGCAAACAAGCGAGAACTTAACCTTATGGTTCTTTTGCCTAGATCTAAGAGTAACCTAGGAATAAAGAGGGTGCCCTTTTTGGTTTAAAGGGGGTCATAAGGGAACCTAAACCCTAAAAAAGGGAATAAGGGCCTACTCTGGGTCCTAGTTGCAGACATACGATAAGTAGCACGAACCCGAGTCCCCAAATCCTGAACCATGCCTTGAACTGCGCCACCCTCCTTTTGCGTAGGACCACTGCATTTTCCGTATTTAGACCTAAGAGTAACCCAGGCATGAAAAGGATGCCCTTTTGAGTTTAAAGGGGCTTATAAGGGAACCTGAACCCTAAAAAAGGGAATAAGGGCCTACTCTTGGTCCTAGGTATCATGGGCCTGGAAAACAACAATAGCTAGGGATGAAATGATGTCTGCATTACTGGTGCCCGAGCAAAGCCCAAGCACAGAAGTTGTTCACTCCAGCACCTACGAAAAGCCAACAAGTACGTTAGTCAGAAGTTCAGGGGGCTTGTAGAGGTAGTGTGCTCAAGACTTGCATGAGGTGCTAAATAAGTAGACCTACAGTTACCGCAGAAATTTAACCCTGCCCAAACCCTCAAAACCTTGGACCCTAAACCATGATCCTTATGGACTCACCATAAACCTCCTAAAAACAACCCTTATAAAACAAAACCCAACTTAGAACTTCAAACCCTGCAACCCTCAACCTCCGCACCTCTAAACCCCTAAACCCCACACCGTAAACCCACTCAGAATCGAACAAACCCTAAACCCTAAACCCTAAAGCCCCTAAATCCTTGACCTTACACACTGAACCCTAAACCAAGAAAAAACAAAAACAGGACGGCGCATTGCAACGCGAGTCGCACGCGCAGCTGCACCTCTTGGTCTGCCGCCTCGGGGTCGAAGAAGAAGCCGAACCTGAGGTCGAGGGGTTTGGGGGGGCTTGGGGGGCTTGCACCACCCCAATTAGGGTCCCTTTTGGGGTACTTATAAGCCTACTTACTACCTACTTACTAAGTCCCCCGACCCTCCTGCACCACCCCCCTTGAGGCTTAGGGGTGCCAGCTTGCAAGGGTAAGCCGAACACCAACTGCTGTGGCTGCTCCGGGCTCGAAAACTCAGACCTTACAAAAAAAACCTAATACTTACAGGATCATGGGACTTAGTAACTTGGGTTCCTTAAAGGGCTCTTTAAAGGGATCTATAGGGTTCCTTAGAGGGATCTTTGGGGTTTAGGGTTTGGGGTTTACTTAAAGGATCATGGGACTTAGTAACTAGGGTTATAACTAGGGTAACTATACTTCTAACCGCAATTAGGGTACTTATAACCTTACTTACTGAGTCCCATGATCCTCCCAATATAGGGGCCTTCATAATCTCCTGTACTATTTTGGGGGCTCCTTACCATAAGTATAGGTATAATGGAACCCCAAAACCCTCTTCTAATTATTATTAATTATGGCCGCTATATTCAAGCCCAAACCCTAAACCCCCAAAGCCTAAACCCTACACTTCCTCAACGCCTTCGGTGTTTCCTTTTATCACTTCGACAGCAGTCAATCCTGGGGTCAACCCCGAGCGCCAAATCCCCTAAACCCTGAAAAAAACAAAAGCCCCCCCCAAGATTCCCAAGACCCCTTCGGGGTTTAGGGTTTAGGGTCTAGGGTTTAGGGTTTAGGGAGCCCTGCCCCAGATCAAGGCTAAAGCTTTAAGACTACTGTAGGGGCCTTCATAATTAGAATAGGGTTTTTGGGGGTCCTTATCAAGATGGCTACAGCTGATATCAGTGCCCTCAGTGAACAGGGGGTGCCGGAAGTGAGATTAAACATGATTTCATGCTTGAAGGAGTCATCCTCAAAACAGCCCTGCATCAAGCCCCCAAGCAAGTCCCGAGATATCCCTACGAATCCCTATAAATCTCAACCCTTTAACGGAACCCTCAACCTTATACCCTAAAACATCCTAGAGCCCTCCTAAAGGAACTCTAAAACCCTGAACACTCAACCCTTTAAAGGTACCCTAAACCCTAAACTCTTTAAAGGAATCCTAAAACCTAAACCCTTTAAAAGGAACCCTAAACCCTAAACCCTTAAAAGGAACCCTGAACCCCAAACCCCTTAAAGGAACCCTAAACCCCAAACCACTCCGAGAGGCAAAGTTTGCTGCACGACCAAGGCCAGGAGAAGTTGACAAATGAGGAGCAGGGCCATGGTCCACCCAAGCCTTGCTTTTACATACAGGGTTGAGGCTCAAGGGTTTCAAGGTGTATAGGGCTTAGTTGGGTTTAGGGGTTTAGGGTTTAGGCTCTAGGGATTTAAGGTTTATATATATGCCTTAAGAAGGGAATAGACACGGGTGGTTGTCAAAATCATGGTCCCTGTTTGGGTCCTTATTATAATACGGCACCTAATAATTTAGGGTGCCCAAAAGGGGCCATAATTTTGACAACCACCCATACAGGGTTGAGGCTCTGGGGATTTAAGGCTTATAGGGCTTAAGGTTTAGGATTTAAGGTTTAGGGTTTCGGTAAGACACTTATTATTGTGCATGCTCTTAGTTTCAGCGCCCAGCAGCACCGACACGCTGCTGCGGATGGCAGTGGTCATCAGGAAGAGTGCATCGAACTCCTGGATCTTTCGCACCAACCTGGCCATGGATTTCAGGATTTTGTTTAGGCTTTAGGGTTTACGATTTAGGGTTTAGGGTTTAGGATTTCAGGATTTTAGGGGTCTTCAAGTCTCGTGTGCAAGATTTCTGTCAAGGCTATAGGTTCGCTTGGGTTTTCGACGCTTCAGCTTCTACACTACGTGGCCTGGCCAGTGGACAGCATACTGTAGTGCGTAAATATCGATCAACAACTGTGTTGTTGCACATGCGAGGAGCTTGAGGCTAAATTTTGGACAGCAGGAGGATCTGTCCTAAGCGGTTCTCCTCCTGGGGTTGGCCCATGGATGCTCTGAGAAGCGGATGGGGTCTGGGTGGACGTTATCACGGTTGGCCCATGGATGCCCACCATTGTCATTATCAGTATCATTCTCATCATCACCATTACACTATCATTACGACGACCACCCGCACGATGTTTCTGATCATCACCATCATCTGGAGCTACCATCCTTTGGCCACGAGATGCACCTGAACAAACAGGAAACTAAGGTGCGGTGTTTTACCTGCCTGCTTCCTTACAGGGACCCGATTCAGGAGCCCTCCAAGGGGCCCTTAGTACTTATAGGAGGCCGCCTTGCTAAATCCCTATAAACCCTACCATCCTTCTTGGAAGCTTTATAGAAAGCTCCTGAACCTCTCAACCCTCCAAAACCCCGAAGGAAGCCTTATTTACAGGAACACCCCTAACCCCCCCCACAAAAACAAAAAAACGCTCACACCAAAATCCCCGAATAGGGTTTTGGGGCCCATTATACCATAACTTTAAATAAGGAGCCTTCAGCTTAGTAGGTAATTATCAATGCCCCTATAGAAACCCTAAACCCTAACCCCCTGGACCCGAACACCCTAGTACCCTTATAGATCCCATTGAAGCCCTTACAGTCCCCTTTTCAGGAACCCTTAGACATTAAGCCCATAGATAGGACCGCAAACAAACACATAAGCGATATGAAACGCGTTCTATTGAAGCCCAACAAGGTAGGGATATCCCTATAAAATGCTTATGCTTATGTGCCTTTTCCCAGAGGCTCCATGTATAGTACCATTATGGAATTAGGTCCCAAAAGCCATGATATGAATGGTCTTTTGGAACCTAATTCCATAATGGTACTATACATGGAGCCTCTGGGTTTGGGTACCTAAATAGATGCAACTTCGGTCCCCATGGGCCCGCGCCTCAGGAGCCGAAGCAGGCGGAAGATGCGGCCGAGCCGCAAGATCTGGCCTGAGGTTCGGGGCTTATTTGAAGGACTCATAGGACTTAGTAAGTAAGGTTATAAGTCAGTTATAATTAGGATAACCCCACTTAGGGGACTTATAACCCCAATTATAACCTACTTACTAAGTCCCATGATCCTCTAAGTATAGGATTTAGGATTCAGGGTTTAGGGGTTTAGAAGGGTTAAGGGTTTAGGGTTCCTTTCAAGGGTTCAGGGTTTAGGATTCTAGGATTTAGGGTTTAAGCATTTGGGGCTTAGGAATTATTATGGGGTTTAAGGGGTTAGGGATCTGGGGTTTGGGGCTCTTTTTCTCATGTTTTTCCCAGGAGATCAACATGGGTTGGAGTTTAGAGCTTAGGGAAGTTGAGGGTTTGGGGAGTTGCTTGTGTGTTTGCTTGCATTCTTGCTTGCTTGCTTGTCGGTGTGTCTGCTTGTTTGAGGGAGGGGTGGGTTAGGGTTCAGGGCTTAGAGACTAAGGAGATTTGTACTTGTTGTTTTGTGTTCGAAGGACGGGGGCGGTAGGACTTAGGACCTAGGGAGTTATTGCTTGTGCTTCTTTGACCCGGGGAGGGGGAGGGCGGGGTGCGGGTAAGTCGCCGTTTAGGCTTTGGGCATTGCGGTTGAGGCCGAGCCAGCTTTATTGAACAAATGTTCATAGCCCCTGTAGGCGTGCATGCGGTGTAGGATGTATTGATTGGGGTTCAGGGGTTCAGGGGTTTAGGGTTTAGGAATACAGCGTACAGCCTCAAATTGAAGCTTTCCGAATGTTACATACTTTCGGGAAGGCTGGAACATCGAGGCAACAGTTCCAAGGCAACTTTGTTGCTTCTACTTTGGGTCTTTGGATTCAGGGCTCGGGGTTGCAGATAAACCCCGCGATCAGGAACCTGGAGCTGAGTTGAAGTTTATAGGGCTTTTTAGGGCTCTTAAGTGGGGCTTTCCGAAAATGGAGGACCCTAATATAGTACCCTGAATAGTAGGATCCTGATTATAAGGACCCCCAAGTAAGGTACCCCTAAATCTCGGAAACTCCCAAGTAGTGTCGTATAGAGTCTTTGGATAAGCCGGCGCAGGGTCGGGAGTTCCAAAGGGTTCACGGCTACGGCTTAGGCATGCTAGTTTTGGGGTACAGGACTTGGTTTAGGGTTTAGGGTTTAGGGTGTGGGTTTAGGGTTCGACGAGGCTGGGGTGTAAGGCTTCTTGAACCTAATGAAAATGACCAGCAACACTTTGCTTCCCAGTGGCTGTTCACTGGCAAGTTGGTCACCAGCTTTTCCAACAGCCAGACCTCGGATGAAGGATTGCTTTGCTAGGGCTTCTTGGGGTATCTCAGGTTTCCTACTCAGTGGTTCATCGGGTGCCCGGAATCAAGATTAGATTAGAGCTATACTCACACTTTAAGGCACAGGGCCTGTATCGCTTCGTGCGTGAAACTCCTCTAGTCAAACCAACTCTTTGCCAATGGCAGCCCGGCCGCGCTGATGACAAAGAAATCGAGAACATTCCATGCCTCCCAAAAGAATGAGACGCCATGCGCGAAGAATCGAAAGGAAACTTCCACCTTGCTGCCATGCCAAGGAAGGAAGGCGGGACAAACTTACGGGGCTAGGGGCGGGGGGTGGTAGGGGGGTAGGAGTAGGGGCATGAAAGTCATAGTAGCCACACCAGACGGTGTTGATTGGCGGACTACCATCATGGCTGCTTCATGATTACTCGGACTAGTCTGGAAGTAGCGCGGAGCTGCTTGCTGATTCGACCCCGTATGAATGGCCTAAAGCCCAAACCCTAAACCCTAAAACCCTAAACCCTAAAACCCTAAACGCTCAAACAATAAACCCCTAAACCCTAAAGCCCGTCATCCCAAACCCGAACCCTAAGCCGGCCCGCAAATCCAAGCCACTGTAAAGATGATTCCAAAAGTCATTTCCAGAGCATAGAAGACGTCCACCTGGATTCTGCTTAAGGAGCTTAATTGCAGTTGCTATAGTAGGGATCTAATGTGTGAATAAACTCTGATGAATTAATTAAACAAAGTTTCTCAACGAGAACCAAGCCACAGCTCCCGGCCAGAGGTCGTTCATCGGCTCGTCGCTAAAGCCCAAAGCTTCCGAAAGCTTCAGCCCGCGATACTGTGCCTTAGTTGCTGAGTTCATAAGTCCCAGGGTGAGGGTTTAGGGCTATGTTTTCCCAAAAAATGTACACTTTCAGTTCTACAAGCTGCCTTTTTATCCCAAAAAGTCCAAAGTGTACTCACTCAGCTACTAAGGTGCTTCGAAGGCAAAGACCAAGGCATTGCAAAGGATGAGGACGCTCATACAGAGGTCTGTGACGGGGTGCTCGACAATCTTCTGCAAATAGGGGCGAACTTTACCCTCCCACTGCAACGAGTTCGAGCGCCGCGCAGACTTTTTACCTCGGGTGAACTTGAAAGGCTCAAAAGAGAGTCTTAAGCATCGGTTTACGGTTTAGGGTTTTGGGTTTTGGGTTGTAGCATAGAGGTGTCGGAGTAATCGGTATACTCCCTATATAAGTACAATATATAATTCCCCAAAACCGTATTCTGATTCACAAAGGGCCCTATGATTGCCGAGTTACTGTGTGCACGCTTCTTTCCTAGCTTCCAGTGCTTTGCGGTAGACTGCGATGCTCCGATGGCAGAGTAGTCGATGTCTTCACCGGCGAAGTTGGCATCACCCTCTTCAATGGCATCTTCATCCTACCAAGTTTTGTCAAGCTATCATGGGGATAGGGGTGGCTGAATATGGAACCATGCCGAAGTTGTCTTAAAGACAGAAATCTATCGGTGGTTTCACATAACTTTTCTGCTTTGGTCCCGCAGGTGTCTTGCAAGCTACCCATAGGCTCCATAGTAGTTCCTTTTCAGGATTACCTTATAGGATTCTTGTTATGAACCCCAAAAAGGAACTACTATGGAGCCTATGGGAATGAATGAAGCCGCATTGATAATGATAGGATGCGGGAGCGAGCAAGAGCCTCGGTCTCTACGGCTCTACAGCAGTGAGAAAAAGATCGGCCACGCAGCCGTACTGATAGGGGTAGTACATAGTAGAGCAGTCGTAAGTGATGCAGAATGAAGGAACAGTTGTCATGATGACGAGGACAATACCAACCGGCAAGGCCTTAAAGAGAGAAGTTTTGACAATGGGGGCCTTAATATCTCAAGTGGGTGTTTGGGGTGAGACGGGCGTCCCTGTCGGCGACGAGCGAGACAAAGAACGACATATGCATCCTTGGAGACGGACTAAAAAAGAAGAGATGTTTGGCGTACATTACCTTATTTTTCGATGGTTATGCTATATATGCTCTCTACGGGAAACTAGCCCAAACCCCCCGCCCCAGACTGCAGAGTTTCATGGTCCAAGTCTTGGTGCTTTCAGAATAGGGCCTAGGCTTCATCGCTCTAGGTCTCTGCTTGGGTTTCGTGTGTAGCCCTAAACCCTACCTGGGAGCCAAAACCCTATGTTTTGGGGGGCTAGGCCCTGTAATTAAGGAGTCATAACCTACTATTTTGTAGGGTTTCGGGATGCAGGCACTAGGGGGGGGCTTAATAAGAAGAATAGGGTTTTGGAGCGTATTCTACTATAACTATAATCAGGAACCTCCCCAAAAAATGTGTAGGTAATTATTACGGCCCCTATATTGAACCTTCCACTCGGGACCCTAAACCCTAAACCTTCCACTCCTCGACGCTCTCGTTGAGGTCGTAGCCATCGGCTGGGGTCGAAGCGTTGAGGGAAGCAGACCCACCACCGCTGCGGCGCTCGGCACGGAGTAGATCCTGCATTAGGGTTGAAAGGGTATAGGTACCCTATTGTGAAAGAACCTCGAACGGTACCCTGAAGGGATCCCTCAAAGGGGACCCTATTATAGAACCCCCAAGGGTCGGGTTTGGGGCGAGGGGTTTAGGGTTTAGCGTTTCGGAAGGCTCTGAAAACATTGCACGTCGACGAGAAGAGTGGGCATTGAGCTAAAAGGACTTCCAGGGATGTATGCGGTTTAGGGTTTGGGGTTGTCCGCCTGGGTAGCGTTGGTTCCGAGACAAACGCCCTGACAACAAACCCCTCTATGCCCGCCCGCCCAAACCCCCCAAACCCTGAGCCCTCAACCCTCAACCCTCAACCCTAAACCCTAAACCCTAAACCCCAAATCCTAAACCCTAAACCCTAAACCCTAAATCCTAAACCCTAAACCCTAAACCCTATAATCCCTAAACCCTAAACCCTAAACCCTCAACCCTAAACCCTGCACAGGTCCATCTGGTGGCGTAGATCCTGGATCTCGGCCACATGGCTGGCATAGAGCTTCTCGAGCAGCTTGTCGAAGTTCTCCTCCGAGGGCCGGCTTATTAGGGTTTAGGGTTTAGGGTTTAGGTTAAGGGCTTACAAACGGAACCACAAAAAAGTACTGACTGGTAATTACTTAGGCCCCTATATTAAGGGTTTGGGTTTAAGGCCTAAACCTCCAGGTCCATCGTTTTGAGAAGGGACAGGATGGGTCGGGAATGCAGGGGTTGGGCTGCAGGTTGGGATTTGTTGTCCGTGTCGACGGACCCGGGTTCCCACTTGGACCCAGTCGGAGTTCATCGGTTTGAAAGTACTAGTTACTAGCGTTTAATGTGTTTAGACTTTTGAGAAACGGGTTCAGGCTTGAGGGTTTGGGATTTAACGTTCAAGGTTCGGGGTCTAGGGCTTAGGGTATCGGGTTTAGGCTTGAGTAGGGTGTACCACCATCTGCGGGATTGCAAGAGAAGAATCAAGTGCAATCTTGAACCCTTCACCCTCCGAAGCTGTGGACCTCTAAAGCCCTTGGCCTCCAACTTGGCCTTCGGGTCTTCGAATTCCAGCTTAGCTTAAACCCTAAACCCTAAACCCTAAACCTTAAACCCTAAACCCTCTGTAGGGCCTTTTCGAGGCCCAACGTCTTAAAGTCTCATGAAACCCCGGATGCAGAACAACACCGATCTGGAGTACCATTTGCTTAAGAACCCCCAAAAATAAAAAATATATTCCTTATGGGGGTAATATAGGGATTATTATTTTTATTTCTTGGTGGTTTCTTAAGCAAATAGTAGTCCTGGAGTAAGATGCTGAGACCGGGTTGCCTCTCACCCGCTCTGGTTTCCCAATATCCCCAGAATAACAATGACAAGGGGAATATGGGCCCTGAAAATTAGAATAGGGTTTGGGTTATGTGTTATAGTATACTTATAGTGCGGGGTCCTCAGGCATAATATTGCCAACTATTCAGGCTTCCAAATTGCCCTTTTCCTGTTGTGGTAGTTGTCAGACGCAACCGTAGCCCCAACCCTACACCCCCTCCACAGGTCCTCGACAGGGATGTGCACAGGCCTTGCCCACGAACCAACGAAAGAGGAGGCGATGAGGTGAGACATGGCTCCGAAACGGCCAGACTTCCACACTTCCGCACCCAAAGTTCCTACTGTCAGTGTTTCACTTTCACCTCAAAGCCATGGGCTTAAATCAAACCCCTAGAGGCTCCCGTGAAGCCCTCAGATCCTGAACGCGAATCTCTGACTCCTGCATGTTCACACATAACGCTCCTGACACCTGACCGGAGGAACTGCGCAGGCGGGTGTCTTGTGGTTCGCAGACAAATCTGCCACATTACAGTAGAAGCCCAAAAAAGTTGGAAACCCCATAGCCTCAATCCTTAAGAGTAATGCATAGGGAATCCCAGCACTATTTGGCCTTATTGCGGTTTCCATCCTTATGGGGTTTACTGTAAGTAATCCTTCAAGGTGGCGGTTTGAGTTATCTGTACTGCAAGGAAACAAATGAGGTTATGATCACAGAAGCTCTGTAGGGGATTCAACTGGTTCAACTATTTCTAAACCCTAAGCCTTAAACCCTGAATCTTAAACCCTGTAAACCCTGAACCTTAACCCCTAGACAATAAACCCTGGACCTAACAGATTTCTCAGTAGATCTGCCTCCAACCGCAGTTCTGAACCAAATAAATTCCATGTAAATCCCGTATGGGATTTACAGAAACTAGGTGGGGCTTTTAAAGCCTTTGACAAATATTAGCAAATAAGATCCTCTTAAGCCCAATAAGGGAAAATATAAAATGTCCCAAAGCCCTACCTTGGGAACCCGGATCATGTTGGAACCAGAAGAGGATCCCCCGTCGCAACCCTTTACAACTGAAAGAAGAGTTTGTGGCAGTTTAAAGCAGACCCTAAACCCCGAAACCGGAAACCCTGAGCCCGAAACGCGAACCCTAAACCCCACCCCTAAAACCATGAACCGTAGACGGTTGAACAAATCTCTAAACTGCGGATTCTTTCTGCCAGACAGCCCGGCCCGGAAACCCAAGACCCAAACCTCCCTAGACCTAAGAGTAACCCAGGCATAAAAAGGATGCCCTTTTTGGTTTAAAGGGGCTTATAAGGGAACCTGCACCCTAAAAAAGGGAATAAGGGCCTACTCTTGGTCCCAGCTCCAAAAAACGCGACAGTCTTCGGTCAACGGTTAAACCTTTGTTTGTCAGGCTTAGGGGTTCGGGTTTCGCTGGCATTTGGGGTCATGGGCTTCGTCTTAGGTACCTCTGATTGTGCAAATGATCCACATAGCAATTATGACATCACATGCACAAAAACGACCTTACGTCAATTACAAGACTAAGCATTGTTGATATATCCGGTGCATAGGCCCTACACCCGAAACCCTGCTCATCCAAGCTCCAAACCCTGAGCCTTAAATCCAAAACCCTAAACCCTAAACTCTAAATCCTAAACTCGAAACCCTAAATCCTAAACCCTAAACCCAAAAATCCTAAACCCTAAACCCTAAACTCTACCCCTAAAGACGCCGCATGTTGGGCCTGATCTTCGGATAGCCGAGGGAGTAGCAACTTCAAAGCTTGCTGCAGCTCCTGAGGCTTTCACGGCTTAGGGAAAGAGGCTGTGGTCAGGCTTTAGGGGTTCCTCTACGGATTTAGGGTTCAGTGTTTAGGGGTTCCTGTAAGGGCTCCTTTAAGGGTTTAGGGTATTAGGGGTTAAATGTAGCAACCTGATTGAGAAACCTAGGAACCTTGTCAGGGTTCCTTACATGAATCCTAGTATTTTGGTGTTATAGGAACAGGGGTTTCTTGATCAGGTTTCTACATTAGGGTTTAGCGTTTCGAGTCTACGGTTTAAGAGCTTGGGGTTTAGGATTTAGGGCTGTGGGCTTAGGGTTTTTGGGGGCTGAAGGGTTTAGGGCTTATTGATAGGTTTCCGAACACAGGAACTCATGGATCTGACTCAGACACCACTCTAGGGAAAACCGTTTCACAGTTAGCCTAACAAACCTGTCTCGTCGCTGCAAACCCCTCTGGCAGACGTGTTGACAGCAAAAGCAACAAGAACGTCAGATGTCTTAGCACCTGCTGAAACCGAGAGGACGAGCTGCCATATCGCGGTCTCGGCTTGCTGCATTCGATGCCGTCGTCTCACCCGACCCACGCCGCAGTCTGCTTCCAAGCGGCACAGGGGGTCGAACACTCGCCGGCACTTCTGCATGCAAGCCCGGCGCTGGCACCTCTCCTAACGGTCCTGACGGTTCGTCCAGAGTAGACTCTACTTTCAAGCAACAGAACCAATACTTTGAAAGTGAAGCCCCGTAAGCGCTAAACACCCCAAAACCGAAATCCCCACACCCTAAACAACTAAGCCCCTAAACCCCTAAACAACCAAACCCCTAAACCTCCAAACCCCTACACCCCTAAACCACAAGCACGAGGCCCTCCAACTCCAAAAGGCTGCAAGGTCCCCAACGCCCTGAAACCCAAGTACCAAGGACACCAACCCAACTTTAAGCCCCAAAAACCCCCAAGCTCTAAACCCTGAATCCTTAAGCCCCTACACCCCTAAACCCTCAAATCCCGAAGCCCAAATCACAAGTCTCAAAAGCGGAGGGTCGTGCCTGGACTGAGACGATACCATCCTGGCTCAGGTCGAAAATCGCGTGCAGTCCTCCGTCGAGACTTAGTTAGAGGGTTTAGGGCTTAGGGTTTAGGGATACAGGGCTTTACTAACTAGAATGGGGTTTTGAGGATATGACTCTTTAGGGAGTTTTAAAGTTTTGGGCGATTTCGTTCCACCTTGTTGGGAATCTTGGGCGCGGGACTGAAGGTAGGGGTTTGCCTTCTTGTGCTTTGGGTTTAGGGTATAGGGGCTGAAGGCTCGAGGGTGTAGATCCTTAAATAACCCTAAACCCAAAACCCAACACCCTAATCCGCACGTAGATTACGGGTTCTACTGCGCAGTGCTGAGGGATCCAATGTTCAGGGACGGGGGGTTTGAGGGTTTAGCGTTTCGGATTCAACGTCTAGCCCAACAAGGCGTCAGCAGTTGGAAGTTGCAAGCATGAAGCATGTAGCTGTAAAGGAGCAGAACCAGACCAGATAATGAGACATCATAAAAGATGGGAGTTTCCGAAAATAGGGAACCCAAATCTAGTACCCTAAATAGTATGATCCTTATTATGAAGACCCCCAAAATAAGGTACCCCTAACTTTGGAAACTCCCAGATAATCCCAGGGACGGTAGCCAATGAGTCAGCCCCAAGGCCTGAGCCCCATAGCTATCAACACCCTGAACCCTAGAGCTCCATCCCTAGAGACTCCAATACCCCTTAATTAAGGAATATTCCTTAAATTATAATAGGATCCTATTATAATTTAAGGAATATTCCTTAATTAAGGGGTATTGGAGTCTCTGGGTCTCGCCTCCGTAATCCATACAGGGGCCTTAATAAAATTAGAATAGGGTTTTGGGGCCCATTGATACGAGAGTTCTAAAGTTCTAATAAGAAGGAACCCCCAAACAGTATAGGTAATTATGTATTTACGCCCCTATATGAATGTGTCTCGGGATTATTTGCTTCTGTTGGGAAGCCTCGCTGCGCTTCGAACTCAAGATAAAGGACGAACGCTGCAGCATCTCACCTCGCAAGTGCCTCGGCCCCAAACCCTACACCCTGAAATCCCTACAAACCCTCAATCCAAAGTATCGTAAAACCTGCAGCCCCATAGCGTCTCCTTATGCAACATCCCCCAAAGGCATTTGGTGTCGGGATCTCTTGCGTCTTTGCTTTCAACTGATGATACTAAAGGACAGACTACTGATGGCCACTAAAACACCAACAGTACGACTACTTCACAATAATGCCCAGTCTGATGATAGTAGAAAAACTTACTAGCACCACTAGACTTGCTGCGATCAAACAGTAGTTACCAGGACTACACCGCAAGCGAAACTTGGGTGCAGATTGCGTCGGGGAGCCCATTGCGCACCATTGCTTTGAGATGTCAGGACTCAAGACAGTGCAACAGCAAACCCAAACCTTGAAGCCAAAGCACCAAGCCTCGAACCGAGACCCTGAACCTAAAACCTAAAGCCACAACCTACAGGGTAGGGTTCAGGGGTTTAGGATTGAGGGTTTAGGGTTGAGGGTCCTTCAAGGTGGATTTCGCCCAACAGCATGGCGCGGACCAGGCGAGACAATGCAGCAGGTTGGAGGGCGTTCCACTCCACCTCGTGCGAATCACAACTTTGAGGCTGAAACCGTAAACTCTAAATCCCAGACCGTTTCTTCCAACGTTTATCAAAATCCTTTCCGATGATTTGGAAACTCTCACAGCAGAAGTTGTTCATACATGCAATTAAGGTCTCTCTTTTGGGTCCGCTAAATAGTAGGTGCCGTATTATAATAGGGACCCCAAAAGGGACCTTAGTTTTGACAACCACCCACATGAAAAACAAACGGCGCAGCATCTGTAAGGGTCTGGGTATGACGCTCCATCACTAGGCGCATCAGCAACCTACGATCTATAAATCACTATAGATCCCGATTATGGCACCTTGAAACCCTGTAGATCCCTATTATGGTACCTTAAAACCCGATTATTTACTGTAGATCCCCCCCATAAACATAGAAACCGACACGCTCAAACCTCTCAATCCTGAAGCCTCAAGCTTGGTAAGCACGCTTATTGACAAAAAAAGCGTCCATGCCCTTTTCAAGCCCTGGGCCATAATTCAACCCTATAACTCTATAACCCTAAACTCAGAAGCCTTATAAATCCCCGAGGCCCTACAAGTCTGAATTTCTACAATCACCCTAAAACCCCTTAAACCCTGAACCGTCAACCCTAACCCTAACCCTAAAACCCCTAAAACCCCTGAACCTTCAACCCTAAACCCTAAGGCCCTTTGCCAGCCCGCCTTGACAGCCGCCAGGAGCTGGCTGTAGGAGATCTGAGCAGCATCCCAATCTCTTCGGGTTTAGGGTTCTTTAGGGTTTGTTTGAAGAGTTAGGGTTTAGGGTTTGTTTGAAGAGTTGTTGGGGAAGGAGTTTCAGGGTCAAGGGGTTTAGAGGTTTAAGGCTT